GTCTCATCCAAAGGACACACAACGGAATATTTAAAGTTTTAATATTATTCATTTCTCTGTCTAAAAAGGTCAATTTTTTTTATCAATGAATGTTGTCTATGATTTGAAAATTTACGTTTAATTTGGTGAACTTTTGAATAAGCGTTAACTCATAAATTAAGCAGGTTATAAGTTATATTGAAGAGATTTTGGGGTTTTGAAAGATTGAGAACACGTATTGGAGTTAAAGTTGCAATTCTTTGAAAAGGGGTAAAGAGTTAAATTAATGACGTAATACAATTGCTAGAGCTGTAATTTCTATTCATTGATTTTCATGTACACGTCATGTATATCTTTATTGTTAACTTTTCAAGAATATATTTCAATTGAAAACTATAACAGTAAAAACTTTGTAAAAGAGCTACACTGTAAAAGTAACGATAGTCGATCCTTAAAAAGATACTTCAGGTGTGTAGATAATAATTAAAACAGTGCAAAATGTTGATCACGTGGCAATATTCACATTAAATGCATGTCGTGCGTGGCTTTTTTCATCTGCTGACTGGAAATATCTATGAATTTGAAAAAAAAACAGGCTGATTGCCTAAATACTCAGTAATCTTTGTTATTTCATCAGAAGTTCTGAAAAGAATGTTGAAAACCCCTTGTTGTTTCTGTGGTTGGTTAAAGCAGAGACATATAAAACTGGTTTTATATGTCTCTGGTTAAAGATATCGTACGTATATAGTACTATGACTTCTGCCTCCATTGAAATTTGTAAAATTAATATTAGACAATTAATTCTTGAAGCAAAACTGACAATTCTTTCTCAAAAGGATATATATCGAAAAAGCTTTCTTATGACAGGACAAACCATGAATTTTCCAAGCAAAAACTTTAGTGGATTACTTTTACGGTTCCGTTTGCTTCATATCTTCCTTTCTAGTACGTCTTTTCAAAAGAAAACTTAAGTACTGTAAGCAAAATATGATCCCCCCTAAAGGATTATAGTAACAGAGTTCAATTTTGGGCAGTATGTACATGTAAATGAGGAAATGCATAAACAAGATATGTATCCCCTAGTTTGAATAGTGACAAAGTCCATGTTTTTGCTATAGAAAACACTAAATATATTTCCGAAGGAAACATGAAATAGTTTCTGTAAGATGATGGACAGTCTTTAAGATGAAATACTAAAATCGTTTTTCTCTCTCTGTTTCATACTTGCGTTAATCTGTATTGCTTATGAAGTAGAAAGGCAATATCCAATCATGGAAGATACCTTGTTCAAACGAGAATGAGAAGGAAAAGTGACATGTTTGTCATTTACGTATTTTTTTAAATTGAAAAAAAAAATTACTTTCAAATGCTCATTAATTTAAAATTCGAACTGAATATTAGCGTTATCTTATTAATTATAGAAGCCAATTTAATATATTTAACAATATTTTGATCGATGGAGTCACTGTCATAGACATAATGGGATTCTATAATCCGTTCCAAGTTACACAAAACATTTTAGATCAAGTAGAATACAAGACTTAGTGCGAGGAAGTCTTTAAAAAAGTGTGGTTAATTTGATCAGAAATCATTGTCTTATAAATCCTTCTAACGCTTTAGTAAACATTCGATATTAATATTGCATGAAATAATTGTATTGAATATATTTTGTTGAAATAAACGCAGTTTCTATAACAAGACATGTTTTTAAAGGGGGAGCGTGTGGGGCAAATAATATTCTTGAATAATTTTGCCTTGTAAATTTAGATACCTTTAGCTATACTATCACACACAGATTAGTATTTTTATAATAAATAATTAATCTTTGAAAAAGAATATTATCAGCAAGTAAAATTAACTACTTAAATAACCCCCCCCCCCTCTTTTCACTTTCATCGCAAGTTTAGAAAAAAATTGACTTGAGAAAACTCTACGACCGGGCGAAAATGTATGAGGACGGATGTCTCTTTTATAAAATATAACTTTCAGCCGTAGGGTATGCCGGTCCATTAAACTCGAAAACTAAGCATCTTTTTCTAGGATTGTCACTCCACTATATGGATAATCTACTGAATGACCTATACCACAATTTTTGGTGTTCATGTACTTATTTCTAAAATCATTTTGACAATGTAGAAATCAGAAGAGAAAGAAAAATAGGAATAAGTTTTTATATAAAACCAAGAATTACAAGAACATACCGGTATTTTGAGGAACATGTCGTCTGACATTAAAGCTGAACATGACTCGTAAATAGGCATATGCCATTTTCGTTAACATTATCTACGATACATCAATACTAGGGTATACTCGTCGCATTCGTTACACCTGACTGCTTTATTGTCACGGGTATCGGCGTGGAATGGCGACCCGTGTTCGTGCTGGTTATCTTGCATTACCTTTGTTTATATTTTATTGCAGTTACGTTTATCTGTGTTGTTTGAATACTGCACTGACTTGTGACTTATTTGATATCTTGTTTTCCTGCATTAGACGAAGTATTACATTATCACTCTCGCTACCGAGTTCTGTATAGCACAGGTCCGTCTTCACCGGTGTCGATTGATTACACGTGAACAGTGTCTAAGTTCTGCCCTATATTTATAGGGGTCTACAGAGTAGCGAGACTCGGGAACAAAAATGGCGTACAGATTCCTTTTACGAATCGTGTTCAGCTTTAATATTATATTAGAGAAAAGTGATACATTCGAACAAACTTGCATCTCCTTTATCAAAGGATACTCTGTGCTAAGCTTGGTTGAAGCAGACCTAGCAATTCTTGAGAATAAGATGAAAATGTGAAAAATTTACGACGACGACTGAGGACGACAGACAACGGACAAAGTTGATCAGAAAGCTCACTTCAGCTTTCGGCTCAGGTAAGCTTACAGCTGAACACGTCTCGTTAATAGGCATACGCCATTTTCGATATAACTATCGACGATATTAGCACCGGGGTATAACTTCACATTCATTACGCAAACCTGACTGCTTGATTTCCAAGGGTATCAGCACGGAATGGCAACACGTTTGTTGACGATTCATTGCAGTTACGCGTGTTTGTGTTTGTTTGTACACAGCACTGACTTGTGGAACTGTTGAAAGTCTTTTAGATATCGTGTTATTTTTTTTTCGCTTCTGGTTGTTGGATATAGCATACGTCAGTCTACACCAGTGACTACAGTGACTAAGTGAGCCGATCTATATATATATAGGGACCCTTAGAGACCTATCGAAAATGGCAGGTTTTTTTTTTTACGAATCGTGTTCAGCTTTAAAATGGCTGCATGGATAGGTATATTTTTCAACTCATTGGTAGCGCTCTCAAGCACTAGCAACCACGTTAGCTTTTTTACTGGAACACGCATGATCGGCTTCACCACAGGGAAATCTGGGAATACAACAATTAATGTAGTAAAACCAATCAACTATTTCGTTAAATCATCTGAAAATACAAATAATTTGCAGTTTCATGTTTCGACGCCTAACCTTCACAAGTGTGCAAAAGTAACTAATTTAACTACTGTACCTTCCTGGATCTTTCCGATAAGCTCAAAAAGCAACCTGGGAATGGTTTCCCCCGACATTGTCAGAAAATCCCGAGAAGATGCGATTGATTCTACTGATTTTTTTTCTACACAAAATTGAAATCACAGTCAACTTCAAAATGTTTAAAGCATGTAATGTGAGTTAAAGCAAACTGTTGGCGTCTCAATGGAAGTGAAAACATTCCGAGGAACATTACGCGAAAGCAAAGATAATGCACATGCAGTGTTGTTCACTTGCTTACATTTCTGATCGAGTACCATGGTCAGTTACTCAAATGTTATTTTTATGCCCCCGTAATCGAAGGTTCCGGGTTATTTTTTATAGAAACTTTTTTGATCGGGTGGGGCTATGACTTTCATACATTTCACAGGTGTATTCATTTTAAAAGACCTTTTTGTTTAGGTAAAAGAATGGGTGGACTTAACTGGCCAGAAAAAATGCCGCAAATTTAAGTTCCATACAATGTTAATTTTTTCCCATCATATAAACCCCCGATATCTTAACTGTGTATTTATGGTACGGATGTGATTTTAAAATGCTCTTTTCTAGGTAAAATAAATAAATATCGGAGGCATGGTGCCTGAAGATTTGTTGAATATCAATAGATAATCAGGGTCACTTGTTTTTCATCGTCTGAATACATAGTCAGCGCATGTTTGTCGGCTGTTCTTAAAAATGTAGTTGTATATTGAACAAAATAATGTCATATTAAAAGGAGAAGAGACAAAAGTGCGCTCACACTTAATTTAACAAAAAACATGTTCCAAACAAACTTCTCGTTCCATTGTTACGACCTTGTTAAATATTACAATTCATCACGTGATGTCCACCTGCGAGTGAACTCGTGGAAACATTGTATTCTTCAACCTGATCTAGATGTAAATCACTATGTTTGGTGCCGTTTTCAAAATTTAGCACATTAAATGTTGTTTTAATTTTGCGTGTCCTCACATTTTAAAAAAAAAATCATAATGAAATCGCTGTAATATTCCAAACACGTATTCGAATGAGAGAGAGATTGTCAACAATGACACCGATCGATAGCCCCGCCTCCTATAAATATTGATAGCGCGACCTAAAAACCACTCCGGGTACATGTTATTCCATTTCACTTAATGTACTTGTTTCAATTTTGATTCATGGCAACAAGGCATTGCTTTTGTATATATGTTCTAGCTAAAATAACCATGCATATAGTCTAGAATATATTTTTGATTCACTTTATTTTTAACTTGTTAAAGAAACATGTGACCCATTCTTTTCACAGTAAGAAAGATTTATGAACTGAGGCACAGCTTGATTTTGTCAAATAGTAAAAATCCATCTTAATAAACAAACCTTGCTACTTATTTTCAATGTAAAATAGATTATGTATAAACGCAAGAAGCTGTCTTTCAATAGTTAACAATTTTAAACAAGCCATTAATGACAATACCTGTCTACTTGTACATTACAAGAAAAACACTTAAGAATGTAAATGCTGAATTTTAATAATAGCACTAGACATCATGCATTCATTTTTACCAAGTAATAAAAATTTGACATTTTTAATTGGCTATTTATGACAATGTCATGGCATTGACAATCTCGGAAAATGGACAAAATTAATGTCACAGTGTCTCAATGTCAAGGTTTTTATATTCAATCAAACAGAAATTTATCTTTCAAATTCAAAGCAAATTGACAAAAATTCAATTTAATTTATATTATTACAAGAGATACATGATTTTTACATCAATGTGTTCAAATGCAGTTCCCTATTCCCTAAACGCATCATCACATATAACAGATCAAAATATTACATGATCAATAGTTAGGCTTTTGACATTACAACACATAATTTATGAATAATAAATAGTAAATAGTTTTTTAATAATGGTCTTTACATGACAATCTTTCATTACAAGTTTCCATGGGAACACAATAAATCCATCTGATTTAGTAACAAGTTTCCATGACGACACAATAACTCCATCTGTTTCCATAACAACACAATAACTGCAGCTGTTCCAGTAACAAGTCTCACTCCCTCCTCAGTAGCGTACAGTGGTCCATCCATCATCTTCATCTCCTGGCCCCCTCTTGGCTGTACAAGAAATACATCAAAATACTGTAAAATCACTCAATTCTGAAGATTTCAATTTTCTCTTTTTTGCATCAAAATCTATTTTTAATTTTTTTTACATGAAATTGTAGGACAACTCCATCTTTAAGTTTATGAGAGATTTCTAGATTTGCTCTTATATTCTTATATTTTGACACAACATACCTCCACTGTCTGCCTGCTTATCTCTCCAGCTTTTTCCTCCTTCACGACCTGATGGGGCATCACCTTCAAAATATAATGATCCAAATTACTAACATACTGCTAGACACACGTTTCCATAAAGGTCTAGAGAATTATGAAATTTTTAATTTGAATTACAATCTTTATCAATAAACTTAATGTTTGTCATGTCAATCTGACTTCACAGTATGTTATTCTGTATTGCTATTATCAAATTGCACGGATCTAATCAATTGTCTTGACTACCTTCAACTCTAACTACTGACTGACCTCTCCTGAAGTCCTCGCGTCTGTCTTCTCTGCCTGGACCCCGGTCATCTCTAGCCGACCCTCTGTCCTCTCGTCCCCTCCAGCCATCCCTCTCTTTATCCCCGGCCCTGTCCCTCCAGCCTTCTCCCCCACTTCTTCCTCCCCCTCTCCATGCTCCTCCTCCCCTCTCCTCTCCCTCCTCCTTACGTCTGTCTCTCCAGGAATCTCCCCCTCGGCGATCATCTCCGCCGAATCTGTCCTCTCGACCTCCACCACCTCTACCCCAGTCATCCCTGGGCGGGGCTCTGTCAGAGAATCCCTCGCGATCTCTGTCTGATCTCCAGCGATCCTCTCTAGGTGGAGCTCTCCTGTCACCGAAGTCACGATCCTTGTCATCTCTAGCAGGTGGACGACGATCAAAGTCATCTCTACGACGATCACCAAAGTCACGGTCATCTCTACGACCAAAGTCACGGTCGTCTCTCCTTCCTCCAAAATCTCTATCTCTATCATCTCTTCTTCCTCCAAAATCTCTATCATCCCTTCTTCCAAAATCTCTGTCCCTGTCATCTCTTCTGCCAAAGTCCCTATCATCTCTTCTGCCAAAATCTCTGTCATCTCTTCTTCCAAAATCTCTATCATCTCTACGTCCAAAATCTCTATCGTCTCTTCGTCCGAAATCTCTATCATCCCTTCTACCAAAATCATCTCTTCTGCGCTCTCCAAATCCACCACGATCACCTCCATCCCTTGAGGGGCCTCTATCCTCACCCCTGCCCCCTCTCCAGCTGTCCCTGGGTGGTGAGGACCCTCTTGCTGGGGGTCTGTCTTCTCTTGGTCCTGCCCTCCATCTATCTCCTTTAGGCTCCTCTTCATCATCAAATCTACAGAACACAATATTTATGAACACAGTTCTCTCCAAATATAACCTGGAATTGATTCTTTTATTGCCATTTCTTTCCAAGGACATTGATTTTTAAAAAAACAATAAAGATCTTCCAAATGATTTGCAAACTATTGTGAAGTATGAATTGAAATTTCAATAAAGTAATCCATTTAAGATTATCAAACAACAAGTCTTACCTTTTGGTGGGACTAGGCTCTTTCTTCCAGGCATCGATTCTCTGTTTCTCCCTTTCTCTCCAGCTTGAGGTTCCTGGTTCCCGAGTTGGTCGCCAGGCTCGACTGTCGTCCTCCTTCTCGCGTTCACGATCTCGCCAACTTGGCTTCTCTCCAGGACGTCCAGGGGTTCTGGTGCGATCATCTCTCTGATCATCGCTAAAGGAACAATCAGAGTCAAAATTAAACTTTTCAACTTGCATGTAGAATTTTCCTTTAAGCATGAAGTGCTTCTTGGTAATTTGTGTGTAGATACGTATTAGAAGTTAGATTATACCCTGATCTGTCTGTCTCCATCCTGCGTTTGGCTTCTTTCTCCTCTATCTCTCTCTCCCTCCTTCTCTGTTTCTCGGCCTGTTCCTCCAGTTTGGCCAGTCTTTCTTCATATTCCTTCTTCTCTGCCTCCAACTTCTCTCTTTCTTCTCTCTCCTTCTCCTCTCGTTCTGAAACATTTACTTTTCAATAAACAAATTTCTACATTACATTTTTTTTATTCATTTAAAAAGCATAATGTAGCATAAGCATGATTAACACATTCCATTTCTTCACACTGTATCAAATCATTACATTAAGTCTCTTTAATCCCTTCCAAACACCTCCCCCCTTTGAGCTGCTTCATATTTTGAGCTGTTTCATATTACCCCCCCCCCCCCCCCCCGCCCCCCGTTTTTCACTTAACCCTTTCAACACTGTAGACCTTCCTTTCAACACGGTAGACCGTTGTGGAGGTTTCAGACACAAAACTGAAAGCAACATGTTTATTCTTAGAAATAGAAAGTATTCTCTGCGCACAATCTTCGCTATGAATTATGGGTAAATTGATATAAACATCCTGTAACAAAAATGGCGGACCACATGGCAAAAATCACGGGAAAAAAAGGAAAATTAGACGAATTTTTAAAGAAACAAAGAAACTAGCAAAATGGCGGTAAACATCGAAAAGTACGATGTTTCTGGCGATGAAATCTCAAATAAAAACGGGGACTTGGACATTATAAACGTTCATAGACATTAAAGATAATCGTAATAAACATTGTTGTGAATGGTAGTCGGAGAAACTTGACTTGGAATCGGACTATGAAGGCTCCAAGACGGACCATGTTTACGAAGCCCGGAGATCTCTCAATATACAAGAACACCATGTTTTTATTTATTTATTTTTTGGACTTATTTTTTCAATGAATAATGACACATTGCATATCATTCTAATCGGGAATAATTTCTCTTTTAAACGATGGTAAGAACATATGTGATTTTGAAACTTCATAGCAGCAAATTTATCAAAAAATTACATAAGATCATTTAAAATACAAAAAATTATTTTGTATCTGCGCTTTTGTCTGGGAAAATATAAATTCTAAATGCATATAAATTTTATACCATCTAAAAGAAAAATGTCTTACCTTTCCAATGATGTGTCTTTTATTAAAATATCTTAATTAATAAAGAAGTTATTGTATTTTTTCTGATGGTAGATGAATTTTCTAATGAGGGCTTAAGTTACTCAGTGTACTGGGGGTTGCTTGATAAAAGTTACTCAGTGTTGAAAGAGTTAACCTTACCTCGTTTGAGCTGTTCGTCCCTCCTCCTCTGTTCCTCCTCAGCTTTCTCCTGTAACCACCTCTGTCTCCTCTCCTCTCTTCGCTTCTCCTTTCTCTCATACAGCCTTTTCTTCCTCTCCTCAGCCACTCGTGTCTCAAATTCCACCAACTTTTTCTGTAAAATTAAAAAAGAAATTTTCCTATAAGATTGATAGAAATAAGAATAGTAACTTACATCTACATGGCTAGAGATTGTAAGCTCGTTTTAGTGAACCGTTTTCAGAACATGTGAAACAGTTTGTGGAGCAAGCTGATTTGTTCTTTGCCTCGTTTGACGCCATAGCAACAATAATATTGCCACGGTAACATTCAAGGCAGTTGAAATTCAAGAATCTGTAGGTGCGAACCTTAATATGTCTTAGATACTATGTCAAGATCAGAGCATCATTTTTTTTATTTTCATAAAATTTTTATGCACTCTTGATAGACATTAATTGTAAAATTAAAGTGTATGTTCTGACATCTATGTAAACCCTCTACATAAATATATACATCTAGATGTTTGCTGTTATGTAAAGTTGTAGAAAATCTACATCTTGTGTAAGCAGCATTTTTGCTATGTGCCCTTTATGACACCACAGGACCAAAGTAACCCTGAGGCAACGCTACAGGCAGACATTTATTTCTAAGCTTTAATATCCCCTTGCAAAGGATCATGTTGTTTCATTTGTGAGTGACAAGTGGAAGTGACATAATTTGCATTAGGGTACATGTTGAATGCTGTTTTTATAGAAAAGATCATTGCCAGGGGATGCTCTACTTTTGGGGTGCATTTGTTTTTGAAGTCCTTTCATACACACAGAGCTACAAATAAGGATACCAGTGAGAACTAATACAACTCTGAGTTTATACTGCAATTGTCCATCTTTCCATGTCAAGATACATCTACTGATATTTTCACAACTTTATATTAGGTACTGTAAGCTCGTTTTAGTGAACCATTTTCAGATTATGTGAAATAGCACTGTTTGTGGAGCGAGCCAATTTGATCTTTGCCTCGTTTGACGCCATAGCAACAATCATATTGCCATGGTAACATTCAAGGCAGTTGACATTCAAGGACTTGGATGCAACAACTTTATGGCTTACATATCTTGTCTAGACAAGAGCATAATTTTTATCTTCATTTAACTTTTATTTAATCCTGAGAGAGATCAGTCCCTTAAGTAAAGTGTATCTTCTGACATGTAAACCTACCCTCTAAATAAGTCAATATCTAGATGTTAGCTGTTATGTAAAGTTGTAGAAAATCTACATCTTGTGTAAGCAGCAGTTTGTTCTGTGCCCTTTATGACACCACAGGATCAAAGTAACCCTGAGGCAACGCTACAGGCAGATCAGACAATTCTTCATTTTTAAAAATGCTCTATTTTTCATGCTTTTTTCACACAGCTACAGGTAAACATTTTTAATGCTTCATTTTTGAGACCACACATGCTGCTTCAAGCGAACGTTATACCAAAGAATTGAAAACTAACACTGCATAAATGCTATACTTGTCCAATCTTTCCTCATTTTGACCTCAATTTTTTTTAGAGCATGTAAAATATGGCCACTTTTATTTTTTAACAACTTCATATAAATTATCGTAAGCTTGTTTCAGTGAACCATTTTCAGATTATGTGAAACAGTTTGGGGAGCAAAATGCTTCTGTCTTTGCCTCATTTGATGCCATAGCAACAATCATATTGCCATGGTCACATTTAAGGCAGCCAAAATATAATGCCTTTCTCTTGTTCAACAGAGTGAGGTCTGATCCAACTCACTGAATGCTTTTACAATTTTTAACAAGCAATTTTGTTGAAATTTGATTTTACTTTTCAACCAAAACTAACAGGTTGGGGTAGCCCAGTAGAAGGACACTCACTTTGTGACTGGAGTTACCAAGTTTAATTCTAGTATTGAAGGCATATCAAACCTAAGATGTGAAGATAGAAGTGACGGTACAAGAGCGAGGACTACGCCAAGCCTGATTAATGCTGCAGGTAACCATGTTCATGAGTAACTGTATAATATAATTCTTTATAATTTAATTCTGTTTGTATTCTTGTCTCTCATTGGTTGATTTCCAAAAAGGAACACATAACATTTTGTTTAATCTGGTTTGGTACAGTCTATGCGAAAGTCACCGGACCGTCGGTTTTTACCGGTAAAATCTAGGTCAGGTCGGTAAAAAATTTCAGTATACAGGACCAAATGTCCGATAAAAAATAAGGCCTAATAAATCTAAATAGAGAGGTACACATGGTCAAATTCCCCACAAGTAACCTCTATTTGACCAATTTAGCAGTAATACCTGATTGAATTTTATGTATTACAACCCTGTCATGATCGTTTTTATTCTAATTCGAATTTCCTCTGTCAAGGATTAGAGATCTTTATAGATAGCTCATACGTAGATTTGGTTGGGAAAATATTAAGATAGCTCATACGTATATTCGGTTGGGAAATTATTTTCAAATGATCATTGAACTTGAGTAACCATAATGAATTGTTTCAGGAAAAATAAATATGCAATGAAAGTGCATATATTAAATTTAAGAAAATCTTTGATACAGTGTATGTTGTATAAGTCAAATATGAAAAAAATGCATACAATTGTTTAAATAGATAACTTTTACAAAGGAAAATTATAAATAGTTAACATGTCTATTTCACTCTGAATTTATTTAAAGTTAAATTTCACAGTGTGAATTAACCCCATCCCACACCCTCTCAATCTCAGTATCATAATGATATATGGATTTAACGTTTAAAGGAAAAAAAGTCGGTCTGGTAAGAAATTGTTTGGTCTGGTAAAAATTTTATTTTTACCAGACATTTTGTCCTGTAAAAAATTTAAACTTTCGCGTAGACTGTTGGTATGGGGACACACCCCCTTGACAACCAGCTGAATCATCTGTATCCATCAATCCCCTCATTTCCAGTCCTTCGGATTCATGAAAAATTCCAGATTTAATGAATGTACCTTTAACTTCAAACAAATGCTCAATCTTACCTCATGTAAACAAGCATCATGGCTGCTAGATCTATGTATCAGTTTTTACCTCCCCTTGCTTCCCATCACTTCCGTTACTACGGTTGTATTATCGCGCGGTAAATTTGAACTAATAAAAACAACACAATTTTACATCCCCAGTTGTTTAATTATTTTAAAATTAAATTATAAGGAATGACTCAACAGTGCAGATTATCGAGTATAATATGTTATGTTGCCTTTTTTATAATCCGCTTTGGGATTATAAATGTACTTTATTGCATTTAAAATCTATTATACTCGATAATCTGGCCAAGAATTAGAGTCATTCCTTAAATAACACTGATTTCGTATTAACTTTATACAAATACTGTAAGCTCGTTTTAGTGAACCATTTTCAGATTATGTGAAATAGTTTGTGGAGCGAGCTGATTTGTTCTTTGCCTCGTTTGACGCCATAGAAACAATCATATTGCCATGGTAACATTCAAGGCAGACAACATACAATACTGCATATCATTCAGAGGCCTGTTCAACAGTCATGATTTCAGGGTAAAAGTATCAGAGATAAAAAGAATTTCTAGGGCTTGCTTGTTTGCTGGTTTGTAGGATCTATACTGGTTATTATAAATCCTGTGTATTCAGCGAGTTCCTCTCTGCCCCTTGAGACACTGCAAACTAGTAATGTGTTTGCAGTAACGCTGAAGGCATAGAAATAATGAACATCTAAGTCTATAGAACCTTGTTTTGAATTTAAAAAAATAAAAGCTGGCGACTGCACTTTTCAAATACGAGCTACATGATAAAAGATATACAAACAATCAACTTACTCTGTGAATGATCTGCCTGCTGGATTTTTTAACAATTAAGTTAAGGAGTTAAGAGATATTTCTCTGATTATTGATTTGTATGCTGGGTTAAAGGATCTACACGATTGCTATAAACCCTTTGGTAATCAGCAAGTTCCTTTCTGCCCATTGACACACCGCAAATAAACATAAGAATAGATTTGCAGTAACCTAAAGGCATTGTGGTCACAAATATCAGAGAAGGTCATTTCCGTTTACCACAAATATTCTATTCATACAATAATAGGTCCAGAGATTGAAAAGCTTATGTTTTACCATCTAAATGCACTATGGATGCTTTATATAAAGATACTTGAATAAGAGAACTGTGTATAACATAATGATTTACATGTAAATGGGTATCAATAAAATTATAATTCTGCTGACCTTGAATATTTCCTTCCTCTGGCCCCTCAGTAGACTCATGAATTCCTCTTTCTCAGCCTTCATCCTCTGGAGACGATCACGACTGGCCAAGGCCATCTGACGATCTTTCTTCAGTTGCTCAATCTATACATAAAGAAGAAACGAAACAGTGCAGCTTAGATTATTATGATATGTTGCCTTATTTGTCAAATAGTTTCACAGAACATATGTACTTTATTGCATTTAAAATTTGGTTTGTAGTTTTGCTTTAGATTGATCATTCATGCTTTAAATGATTTTCTATCTTGACAAATGGAAATTAATATACAAAGAGCAAGTTTATATATTACAGTCAAATTTTCTGATCTTGAACCCGATGGGGGTGAGAAAGAAAATTCCATTTAACAGAGGATTTGTGATATCAAGGGTATAAAATACTTAAAGAATATGTGGTTTGGACTTCCATAACTTCGACATATCCATGGTATTGGAGATATCGGAGTTCAAGATACTGAAGTTCAATTGTATTCATACAGAACAGGTACCTTCAAGTTGACAAAGAAATGATGATTAAGAGCCATTTTATGAAATTGCAAACCTTCTCTGCTTCCTGTTGTTCAAAGAATTCGCGGGCCATCTTCTTCTCTTTATCATACTGTTCTTTCAATAGGGGGATTTCTTCTAATCGCTTGGCTCGTGCAAAATGGTCAATCTAAAATTCAAGTCATTTCACATTACCCTTTGTTTATAAAACATTCTCATTACATCTGCAGTAGTTTATTTAAAAGCTTCTTGCCATATTACAAATGCCAGATATATTTTTCTCTGGACCTGTCTTCTTTCTTACAATGTGAGAATGTAAGGATGCTTGAAAAGTTATAAAATATTAAATTCTGACAGTGATCAAGTCTGAGTATTTTTAAGCCCTGACCTTTTTCTCCTGGTTTTTGAGTCGATCCATCAGTTCTTTCTTCTCTTTCTCTAACTGTTCCACTTGCTTAGCCATGATGTCCTCTACATCTAACGTGGCAAAGTCCTGAAACACAACAGTATTCACTTATACACATTAACTTTACAACAAAGCCACAACTAGCATTAATTCCACTATTTATATTTTAAGTCATAATATTTATTTCCTAAAAATAGAGCTTCTCCTAATTTTCAGAAATATATTACTTGCTACCTCTTCATTTGAAAAATATGATACATGTAAATCCTTTTAGATCTCTTCGTCTAATTTCTGTAGGACCTTGGCCCCTATGTCAGTCTTTATGTATTAATGATATTGATAGTTATATAGTTATCTTTTCATCTAGGTTCTGTAGGACTTTAGCCCCTATATCGGTCTTTATGTATTTATGATACTGATAGTTGTATACTTACCTCCTCCTCTAGTTTCTGTAGGACTTTAGCCCCTATGTCGGTCTTGATTTATTTATGTCATTGATAGTTAAATAGTTACCTCTTCATCTAGGTTCTGTAGGACTTTAGCCCCTATGTCGGTCTTGATTTATTTATGTTACTGATAGTTATATAGTTACCTCTTCATCTAAGTTCTGTAGGACTTTAGCCCCTATGTCGGTCTTTTTGAGCTGTTCGATCCTCTCCATGGCGTGTTTTTTCTGGATTTCCTTGTGCTCCTCTATCTTTCTCAGTCTCTCTCTCTCTTTAGCCTCCCGTTCCAGTCGAGCCATCTCCGCATCGTACGCCTTCTTCCTCTGCTCCTCTATCTGCTCCTGTTCTTCACGCTCCTATTCATAACAAGAAGTATATTTACATTATACATGTATATACACAAACTTGAGTAGGATTTCTCTGTCATATTTTTAAGACCATTATTTTAATGTCATGATAATGACATGCAGACCTTCAATACATTCAACTGAATGTTTAGAGCTCCCTTCTGCACACCTGAACATGATAAGCCCGATACTAGATCCTTTTTTCCTGGCTTTCTTAACATGGGACCCCCTTCCTACCATCCAATGTGTTACTTAACTTCTTGTCATTGAGCCCACCAGTATTAATTCTACTCACCCTCTGGTCATTGAGATGTTCCAGCTGCTCCTTTCTGTCCTCTATAATCTGTCTCCTCTGTAAGATCCTCTGATGCTCCTTTTTAGCTGTCATCCTGTAGCTGTTGGCAATCTGTACCTGAAGCTCATGTCTTTGTACCTAAGGTAAGATGAAGAATCATTGTACATGTCTTGTTTACGTACATGAAGTCACTGTCTTGTTGTTCTTCAAAATTTCCTCTAAACAAACCAATTCTAAAGTTCCTACTGAATTTGTGGTGGTTATTATGGGTTTGTTATCAAAAACTACTGATCTTTAATCCCAGCAGATGTTGACCATTTCACTAGGGACCATATAAATCAGTTTACTTTTATACCATTTTGGGATTTGACCCCTCACCTTTCTATCTTTAGGTTCAATCCTGTCCACTGCGCGGTGGAGAGCTCTCGCCATGGAGATCAGCTGATTACGTATGCCCTCGCTGGGCATGCTCTGTATGTATGGCCCTTCTGGAACGTCCTCTTTTTGAGCCACCATTAAATCTGTACCAAAACTCAGCGACTTGCTTCTGTGGTCGATTCTTACCTGTTGTTTTAAAAGAAACAAACTTAGCGTACAGTTATACCCACACATGGACAGATGATACATAGTTTATACACTCAGTCCTTTATCTTGAATAATACATCTACATGTCCATACATGTAAATGGAAAGAATTTCAGCCTCAAAGTAAGTTTATAAATTCATAAATTCCTTCAGTGTACACATAAATACCAGAACTATTTGTAAAACATAACTAGGAGTAACTAGGAATAAGATAGTAATCAATACTAAATTGTTCCTGTGTTTGGAGACCTCAGTAACAGTAAGAACTACTCTGTACTTAAAAGATATAAAAATGAATAAGATATTTTTTGGTAGTACATTGTCCATACATATATATATTTGAAGACCCTTGTAACAACAGTAACAGACCTGTAATTCCAGAGTCTTGGCTGCGTCCACAATGACTCTCTCCAGACGGAACTTGGAAGCGAATGGAATCAGGTCTGCCAGGCGGGAGAAAGCAATGGTCTGATACACCTGGGAGACCTGGTTAAACAATCAGCAATACAGTAAAACTCGTTTAGTACGAACACGGATACAGCGAATTCACGGATATAGCGAAGTCATTTTGGATCCCCAGCTATATAAATTCAATGAATTTATTATACAGTTATAACGAATTACAGATATAGCGAATTAATTTCAAAGGTCCCAGCGACTTCGTTATAACAGAGTTTTGCTGTATCAGCTGTATAGAGAAATACTGTTTTTTGGGGGGGGGGGGGGGGGGGACTTGTTTTTTTTTTTAAACCTTCTCTTTAACAGATTAGTGAACCTAGAAAATTGTTTTGTGACCCTGCTAATGTTTTGTAGCTGTGTTATGATTTATGTTTGTACTGTTCATGTAATTACCAGTTTTAAGACCCTTAGGTTAGTGTTTTTACCTGTTTTAAGACCCTGGTGATAATAATTTCCTCCAGGGCTGGTATATATTGAAATTGCAGCAAAATTCATTTTCTCGTTTTCGCTGATGAATATATGACGATTTTTCACTCTTGATATACATATTGTTTGAAGTTCACATTAAAATGGTTTTAGATGGAACTCCACCTCCAGGTATTTATACAGGTTCTGTAACTCCGGGTGGACGTGCTGGATAATGCTGTACTTCACCTAAAGATGGACAATAATGACTTGTAAGAAATATTCAGATACAATAACTCCACAAAGCAACCATTAGTTCTAACTAAAACTGAACTGCTTGCAATTAATTGTAAAATTTCTTCTATTTGTATAAATTTTCAGTAGGTCATAGTTTTAATCAAAACTATCAAATGTTTTGATAACAGATAAGTCCTGTATATTTCAATATTTTAATTTACACACATTTTTTTGTTGTGAAAGCCCATCACTTTCGCAGTTCTGCTTTTTCATGATTTAATTACATTTACATATTTGTCCCAATGCAATGTGTCTATTATGGAAACCCTTGTAAGTCAATATACACTAAACAAATTAAATGATTTGAAAACACTCTTGTCTAAATTGTTCAGCATATCCTGCATAACCTACCAGGTCTTTGATCATGGACTGCCTGGTGGGAGCTGTATTCAGCATCAGAAGGGTGGCCAGTCTCCTTTTCTTCTCCATTGTGGCCTCGTCTGTTTCTAACAGCTGATCTATCGTGTTCCTGGAGGCAGGGATAGGAACAGCTAGGGTGGCACACAAAACTTTGGAGGCCATTCTGAGAACAAATTATAACATTTTAAATAGTTATATACTTTACAACATTTAGTTATATACATTTCAGTTAGCAACATAAAATACCAAACACAACCCTTTTTTATCAGCGTTTGAAATCAGACCAACACATTGCGCATTGCTTACAAAATCTTCAATTTGCCTACTACTGCATACAATGAACTATAACTATTCACTGTATGTATAGTAACAGTACATTTAACCTTAATACAGAGCTCCTTACTTCTGTAACTCGTCGGCAGACAGATTCTTTCTCTGCTCCCTGGATAAGATGTACAGCCTGTGGAGCGTGCTGGCGTGGAACAGACCGCTGCCCGACTTCCAGAACACCATTCCCAGCTTCTGGTAGTAGTTAGCCATCAGCGACGGCTTGGGCGATTTCTTAGACAGCTGGATCAGGCCGTGAATGTCCTCCACTGCTTTGAAAGCCTCCTACAAAGAAATATACAATATTAGCAAATCTAAACAATGTACATGTACATTCACCGCTAGAAAAAATTTCTTTCCTCCCTTTGAAATTAGGATTTAGCCCAGTTATAATGAGTAACATAAAACCACGTTCATTTTCTGTTTATCAAACATTCTATTTCTCCCTTGTCTGAAATTACCAGATTAGGAATACTGTAAATGTACTTTACTGGGTGTCTCTGAAACATGCATTTGGTGGAAATTGATTTATCCCAATTATGAATATGCATGCGCAAGACTTTTAGCAATGTACTTGATCTACAATAAGCCGCTTTCTACTAAAGGTGCTAAACAGAATAAAGTCAAATGTAATATGTTTTTAGTAATGGTATCCAACAGAATTTGGATCATCTGCCCAGATAACCTCTTACCTGCCAGAGCTCCATCTTGATGGCACTATCCAGCTGTTCCAGACGAGTCTCCAGGTGCATGGCCTGGGAGTCTGGATTGTTCAGGTTAATGGCCGTCGCCTGGTGCTGGTGTTTGTGGATGTGACCCAGGTGAGTTCTCAGCTGTAATGTGAATAAATGCAATCAATGCATGGGTATAGTATTTCATGTTCTTCTTCTGTAAACAAACATTTGGTTTTTGAACAATACACACACGTTTATTTTCCACTCTATCAAAGAAATAATCAACTTAAGATTTACATATAGTTTCTTTAGAATTATACATGACCTCATCTATAATAATTGAACTCTAGAATAACAACCAAGAATATACGATATTTTACAATGAATGAGTTAATTCCCTTACATTATCACATAGCTTTCTGAATTCTGTTTTCCTGTTGTACTTCAAACAAAACTTGAAAGCTGTAATAAAAAGAATCATCATGGTTAATGTTATCTATGCTAATTAGAAACATTCAATAAATGCTTATAAAATGCATTACTTACAATATCAATTTTCTGTCTACAAGTTTATCATTTTAACCGTTCACTCTACATTAATTTATCCAATAACTTTTACAATGCTGATACACAAGTAAGTGTTCAATCTATACGAATCGGAATTATTGCACTGTCTCACCTTGCTGTGCGATATCCTGGTACAGTCGCTCCACGCGGGAATTATTACGCAGTAGATCAAGGCACTGTCTGTATGACTCCCACAGGAACTTGACCCACGGGGTCAGGATGGCCCGGTCAGTCCTGTCCTGAGTGTCCTCACCGCTCACCGCCTTCAACAGCAGGCTGAAATTAACATCCAAAATTAAAATCTGAAGGTCATCTAAAAGGTCATAAAGAATTTGTCTTTCATAAATCTTAAAATTAAGAGCAGAATTACTGTGAGGTTTTATGTTGCATGTAAAAATCAGTTTGGGGATAAGTCCGAGAAAATTTGTCCTTAACTGACCTTTCTGGAGTATCTGGGTTGTCAAGGTCGTCGATGTCGACATGGTGTGACTCAACAAATTCTGTTTATATCGGCCAATCATGTGTGCTTTGAAATCCTCCAGAGACTTGATGTTTACCTAACACCACAAAGAGAAAGTAAATATTTATATGTGCCTGAAACCAAAAGGGAAAATAAAAGTCAACCCAGTTATCTAGGTACTGTACAAAGGTTTCAAGTTTGCTTTTTATTTCTTTTGAGTTCTTTTGTTGACTTCACTTAAATATTAAAATAGTTCCTTTCTGCAAAAATATTTCTTTTAACAAATAGAATTATTCAAAATTTCTAGAATGAAAGCATGAATAAAGTAGTAGTGACTGTGAACATTTCAAGTTGTGTTTGTTCCCCTATAAGATAACTCTACAAGGTTTCTCTATTTTTAGATTTGGTTTTTGATATGAATGCAGGGTGAATGAGGGTTCTCACCTGCTGACAGATGTTCTTGTATTGGTACAGCCCCTCCTTGGCGATGTGGCTCTTCCTCAGCTCCACACACAACTGGAGGTACTTCTCCATGATCGGCTCGTGAATCTTCTGCCATGTTCGGTGTTTCTTGCTTTTGATTACGTCATACAAAGCATCTAGAGCCCGCTGTTTCTTTCCAACATCAATGAATTCTACAATACACAATGTCTTGTATATCAATATTCTCTTTCCCATTTTACATACAAAAGAACCTTTATTGAAATGCTGCAAAAATGCAGTTGCTTTACAAAAATATTGTATAAATTACTTAAATCTTAAAAATATATGTATTATTCAAGCAGCAAAAAGCTAATGGCATGGCTATACTGTCAAAACTTTACCGTACCAGACTTTTTAAAAGGGCGTTCAATATTGATTATAATTCACGTTTGAATTAATTTTAATAGGTTCTGGTCTAAGATTACATATATTGCATGTGTTTCAATCTACAGCAGCTTATTAGTCAGCCCGCGGGCTGACTAATTATTGCACTTCCAATGCCTTGCGTGACCTGGAATTCTGGGAGGTAGTCTCTCAAGCAAATCACTCTAGCTAATTTCATTTCAGTAAAATCAGTATAGATTAAACAAAGAAATCCCTATTTAACACCACGGTTATCTGTAAATTTAAAATCAACTTAAATAAGAAAGTCATTTATGCTTAAGCTTTGTACAATCGTAATCAGTTTTTAAAACCTGGTTCTCAGTAAATAAACTGGTTCGCATCTGATCGTGAAATGTGTTCTACGCAGTTAAGCATACAGTTGTATGAATTCATATCGCAAAGTGTAAAATTGAAGGTCTTTTGTAAAAGGTTAAAGGTATTATTATATTTATGTATTTAAATCTTAAACATTGGATTAATAGAGATTTTGAAGTTATTCAGTTTTCATTAGTTTACTTTCGTTTTCATTACATCATTTCGATCCCGATGCAATTTAGCGAACTGACTTGTTATAGCATACAACGGACACTGGCTGAGCTTGCTCGTTTGTAATGTGACTAATGTCCCTCGCTGGAAGTGGAGGATATTATTTTATTTCGGTCTGCAGCTTCCGTCCGTTGTCTGTAGTCCTGTCTGTAACACTTTCAATTCCGTGAAATATTTCAGGAAGCCCTTGAGCTTTTGTAGTGAAATTTTACACAACTCACTATGGAAAACCCTCTTGATTTTGAGGCAAAAATGTCAATGGTCAAGGTAATGAAATCAAATTTATGTCTATTTGAACACCTTTGTCCGTGCAATATCTCGATAAGCCCTTGAGCTTTATAAATGACATTTCATACCACAACAACCTATGCTGAAAGGAAGGCACCTATAGATTTATTTTGACGTTCAAAGTTCAAGGTAATAAATTCACATCTCTGTGTGAGTGTGTGTAAAACTTTCATTTCCAGTATATATCAAAAGAAACATTTTTGCGTTTTACAATCAAATTTTATACCATAAGCATAGTCCACCATAATCTGGTAGTGACTGTGAACTTTTTTTCAAGTGTGAGATGCAGATTCTCTGAATAAGCTTGTTTAGTGAATGAGACCATTTTTAATGTGTCAATCAGATTTCAGGATTTATAGTTTTCTTACGTTATAGAGGTTTGATAAATGAATTTGTTTACCACGGTCATTGTATTGTACATTTTGTTTCAATTCTACTTTTTTAAAGTTTCAAGCTTAAATTCAGCTAGCTAGGTCAAATTAAAGTACACACACAACTCAAATAAAAATACCTATGTCTTTAATCAGGCAAAGATTAGGCTAAACAAAGCTTACATGTTACCTGTTTGAATAATTTTTTTTCTAATCTAAAAGTACTAGAAAATGTGCGTACTGGTTACATGTATTTAAACATCTTAATTGATATTCTCAATAACAATGTGTCTGTATATCGCAGGGGCAAGTCTCTTGAATGTGTCTTTGTTGTCAAACAGCAGCCTTTGATTGAAATGCTGCAAAATACATGTATAAAAAACTCTTTCAGGGTGATAGTGAATTACTTAAATTGTTAAAAATATATGTCCCCATTATTCAACTCCTTTAGATCCGAATTGGTTTATAATTTCCTGGAATTATGTTTTGTAAAATTGAACTTAATTTTTTTTTTACATAATATATCTTTCTTTTGATTAAGAGACAAAACATGCAATACCGGTATAATGCATTTTTTTCAGTACCGTAGTACATGTATTCTTCAAAACATTATCACAGAGAAGAAAAATCATCTGGCTGACTCTCTAAGCTTTTTTTAAAAGCTAAACTTGTGACATTGTTTTAGAATGTTTCATCCAACAATATGCTAGGATGTACTACGTCATAAAACAAGGATAGACCATGTGCACCCAAGGCAAACACGTTTCTTACCATTTGCCCTCTTGAGGGCGTTTTCTGGTCTTTGAAAGTAAGTTGGCATGATGGCTTAATAAGACATGTGGTTCTTCGCGGAAAGAAAACCGGAATTTTGTACCCAGGTTATCACTTTCTTCCTGGATAATAGATGTGGTCCCCGCGAAACCAATATGGCTCCAACCACTCGCACATGTGCGGAAAAATGATTTATGACGTCATCAACATTGAGATAACTCATTCGTATATTCACTCGTATTTTACTTATGGATACAGATAACATTTTATTTTCGGATTATATTATGCACAAATAAAGTGTAGTTAATAAAGTAAAGATAATGTAAAATAAAAAATCCTTTTTGCAATTTTTTACTAAATTGGTTCTTAATAGTAGAAGAGGACTAGCAAATGAAAATGAAACAAGGAAAACAATGACCAATACACATCAGTTTTTGAGTGCAAAATCGACAGGATTGATCGGTAACTTTTAGTGTATACGTTTGCATTCATCAAATTTGTGTAAAGATCTTTGATGTCAACAGTTTTTTAACAAGACACTACTACTGTAGTGGGAAAACAAACCCATATGCGATATGATCATACGCCCCCTTCTACTTTCACTTTATCAATAGTTTGGAATGTTTCTGAAATTGAATTAAATTTGTTGTAGTCGTTAAATAACTTAACTGCGTATGGTGTTTTATCAACTCTGTACAAAGCTTGGACTCCATGTTTTTATTCATAATCCCAGGGCCAGTGATCACTACATATATTTCAGCATCTGCATGATCTGTAAGATTTAGTGTTATAATATAACTTATGTGTATTTTTCTCACCACAAAAATGCTATTTAATAAATCATATTTGGTAAAAGATTTAGTTAATTGTTTTTATGATAAAAAACTTTGCAACATTAAACATTTCATTCAGGCAACCTTAAATTTCCTTTGAAAAATTGTTGTGATCCTTCAAGATTGCATCGTCTCAAGCCACGGTCCGGAGTCCGCATATAGCTCTCTCCTATACCCGTGGCTGCTTGATCACAAAAAGTGTCGTAATCTTGAATATTTACGCCCCTCTATTGTGACGTCATATTCAGTCAGTGGCAAGTTTTGTTTTCATCGCAATTGAAATCAACAACTGACGTCAACAGTATACAAGAAATATTTCCTTTACTGCGATTGGATATTGAAAGGTCGCGATAAAGTTCATCTTCCGACTATGCTTTACTCGCATTGGTCAAAATTTTAATGAGCTATGAAGAATTCTCTCCTCGTTCAACCACGGCCAGAATGGGAGAGGATCGTACATTTTGGCCATGGTTTGCGACGATGTCAAGATTGGTTGATAGTCAATTCTAAAATCTGTCAAGTATCGAGTCCTGCAGATAAAAATCATGTGATTGACCATCTTCTCATTAACTGATTTATTATTACTTTTGCAGAGAGAGACGTTAATGGAGACGTACTATGGACATGGTCCTATCCATCTGTGAGTGAAGAAGACAGAGAATTTTTTATTCGGAAGTCTCAGCTCGATTCCCCGGACAATGCGGTGCCGTTTCTATACAGCCAGAGACATCACGCCTGGTACTACATCTTTACTAATGTTGTAGAGGATTCTGACCACCTCCCTAAAGTAAGCATGGGCTTGACATGGAGCAAAATTCAGGCTTTTTTAAGGAACAAAAAAAAATAGAACTCAATTCATAATAAAAGTATTTAAGTCTATAAATTTAGTATATTTCCAGATTTTTTTTCTTTTGTTATGCAGTTCTTTCATTCTCATTTCTGTGTATCAACTGTGACTGCCATAATATGCCTTATAACTTTATTATGCTTTAATTTATTAAAAGCAATTAATTAAGGAAATTTTATATACCTTTTTAAGTAAGTCAAATATTAAGTGACTTTAGTACATTGTTATTACATAACACACAATTAATCAAAAGACCATCTGAAACCTTACATGTGTATGTAAGTTTACAAAATATAGAACTTTGACATTCTTCATCTTGAACCATAGACATTGCTTCACATCCTCTGATGCATTCTATTGTTTTTCTTTTTCAGGTTACACATGTTTCTCTAGTTCTTGTCACCAAAGATTTCAACCCAGAAAAATACGAGATACTTTGCCGGATTCTGCTGAAGAAATACCGAAAATCTGGCAACCCAGCACAATTACTGGAAAGTTATCTCAGTGTCATCACCAGGGGGAGCTGTTCTACGGAGGAAAACGGGCGATTCTCTGTACAGGATTACGACATTAGAAGATCATATGCCAACACAAAGCTAAAAGGTTTGCACATTGTCACACAGAAGGTTCTCAATAAATTTCACGTTCAAGCTACTACATGTATTACTTACTTATAAAACATGAAATATATCTTCAATTCTGTAGATTATCAATTTATCCTGACCTTTTCACATTTTTTTGTGTTAAATTTCAGCAAGGAGAGGCAAAATTAAAGTCCCACAAAAACATTTATTATATAAAGAGTGATTTACAACTAGTGCTTTTAAATTAACCAAATATTATTATTATTGTTAAAAAAAGTCATTGAAAGTCCTGGAGAGCATTTTATCTTACACACTTCAGCCCAATAAAACAACTAACATAGATAATTTCTGTCAATGACTGTGCATGTAATTTAGTTATATGGTACATGAAATCTATATTTACATCCAATTCTACAATATTATGATTTTCATATAGAGGATGTTTGCTCCTCCGTTGCATTTAATATTAGAGATCCTTGGTTGCTCCACTCCCTATTTTTATAGTTTCAATAGAATATAAAGCTTGAATACCATTATTTTTTACTAGTATCCATATACTTGTATTAATTTCCATTTGACAGATTTTATTTTGACCTATGGAGTGGAGTCCATCATTGTGTACACAGCTTTACTTCTCAAAAAGAGGGTGGTGGTCTACTGTCCAGAGAATCAGGTCCAACAAGTACTGTCCATAGTCAGGTAATGGTCATCTATCTAACCATTGGCAATAACAATCACTTGATTGACCCAGGATGTAATTTAAATTAATTCATCATTCTTCTATCATTTAATTGTTTTTTATATATCTCTTCAATAAGAAAAATTACTGAGACTTTAGCTATTGTTGTAGATGGGGAGGGTGGGGATGGGGGATGGAGAAATTTTATTTTAATTAGACTTAAAAATTTGCATTGTTTAAAAAGAATAGATTACCAGTATTTATTCATCAATGAGACTTTTCTTAATCACTTCAATGATAGAGTTTCACTTGTACATGTAATAAATTGTACTTCAAAAATAATTTAATTTGAAAGAAACAGGTACACTTATTCAGTGAAGAATCAATAAGCAATCAATCAATAATCAACTGCAGAATCAATCAATTTCTCTACAGGTCCCTCCCTGCCCTGGTGTGGCACAGGCAGAACTGGGGCATAGCCTTCCCTCTGATAGAAATGGAGGACTCAGAGATGGACACATTAAAACAGACCAGTAGTTATGTGGCAGGGGTCACTGATGCTTCAATGGAGGGCAGGTAGGTGTTCAAAGGTTTTGAATTATGACTTTTTCCAGCCAAAGGTTTTTTTTTGTTAAGGGCTGTAGACTCTACTCTCAAACCTCATTCTAATAAAAGTCATTTTTTTTTTCATCCATTTTAAATTTTATTAAGTTTCATTTTCATCTTTTAATGAAGAAAATTAAATGTAGTACTGTAAGCAGTATACATGTATGAAATCCCTGGCATAAATTTCATTTATGAATTATCTTCATGATATAATATCTGGTATTATTTTCTTTTGAAGAACAGACCTGTATGATGTATTTGTGAACACTTCTACTGGGCAGATTTCTATAGCACCAGAGGCCAAAGGTACAATATATACAAATTTTAAAAAGTTACAGATACTGTAAAAGCAGAAATATTCGTAGGGGATTAAATTTCGTTTACTACATGTAGTATTTCATTGTGCACAATTATCAAAGAAAGTAAATCCCACACAAAATTTTTATATACTAGTAACTATTTTTTGCATTGGTTTAATTTCAAATCAACAAATTTATGTTCAAGAAACCTTTTTAGATGGCAAATTAATGGAATTTATCCCCACAAATATTTGTGTTTCTACAGTATGCTATCTTTTTGATTAAGAAAATTTGTTAGAGCATGGTATGTTTTAATTCGTGCAATGTAGTCAAATATAAATTTTATAAATGAATTTACATAATAAGTTGTTGAGCATAATAGGACAGACATTATACCCCCTCTGTGCATATTCCTTCCTTCAAATGTTTATCTGGCAAAAGTTGTAATCTGAATCTCAACCATTGTGACTTAAAATTATTTGAAATCAATTAGTCAGTTAGTGACATATTCAAACAATGCTATTTTTTTTCTTGTCAGAATCTTTTGCCATGGGTAAGCTGCACAAAGATATCGCCAAGCACATGGTACAGTGTGCAGAGGCAGAGGAAGTGTCGGAGGAACAACTAACCAATGTAAACTTCTAGATTCTGACCTGGATGGGGTGGTAACACTCACAAGCACTGTGTAAACCCTAACGTTATCCAACTGCTGCAATCTGAATTTAATTCCTTTTCTCAGTTATATCATATTCACTAGCATTTCACCAGAAAATCACCAGATTTTCCTCTGTAGAAAATTTTTACTTTTAATTCTATATGTTGTGCAGGAAATTTCAAAAAAGACGGGAGAACTGCTGAACAACCTCAGGAGCCTGGCTACGGAATCCAACGATGGAAGACAGGTGATTCAACTGGAAACTCTGAAGGAACGTAAAATGGCGCCTGCCACAGAGAGCTTCCTGTTCTCTCTGGCGGCCTGTGAGGGACTAGTGGACGTCTGACCGGGAACATTGCTTGTGTGTCTGTGTGTGTGTGTGTCAGCGGAATGCAATAAAATGTATAACATTCAGCAGAACCACAGTTTTTCAGATGAACATTGAAATGGCTTTCTGGAAAGATGAATCAAGCAATCAGATAGAGATTGTTTTAAAATAGAGAATTTTATCTTTACAAATGTGTAGATATGAAAAGGATCAAAATGAATACATGTACTAGTAATTGAGATACATGTACAGAGTATTTCCATCAAATTAGATTAAAGACTTAATAAATTAAATTAATTATTAAAAGTCATAGTGTTATAAATTAAATGTCTACTTTCACTGAGATTTAGAATTCTTATCAACATTGACTGAATTATTGTAATGAAATGCACTGTTACTATTTCCTTTCACCTCAATGGAATAAAATAGACTACATGGAATAAAACGTGGAGTAAATCCCAAAAAGGATTCAGTTAACCTAAATATTTCCAATGCAGATGGAAAATTTTAGAATACAAATTGAAAATTACACAAATTATACACAATACGAATGGAAAATTCTGCAATTAAAATGATAAAGATCAAATGTTGCAACATTTGACATGCCATATTGATGATAGGTATATTCATGCAGTTGCAGATATGCATCATTATTTTTCCCATGCAGACCCTTCCTTTAATTTGAGCTAGACGTCAAATTAAGAAGATGCGGGAACAAGGCGTGCAGAATGCTTAAAGCTTAAGAAATTAAGAAGTCTTTTTTTTTTGTGAATTGAGTATTTAGATTAAACTCTGATTAATGAAATTATGAGAAACAACCAAGCTCTGTCATAAACGTGATGACTTTAACTTTTCTATCGTCAACTTCCCATACTAATGCAGCAATACACCTTCATCACCTGCATACGGAATTTATATATCTCTATTCGATACGCAAGAGCACGATCTACGTGTGTACATTTTTTAACGAGGTGAATTATTGACAATTAAACAAGTACATGAAATAAGAATATTTTAATAAAGTCACCATTTTGTAAGTTCCATGTTCGATAGAATGACCTCGTCATCAAATACAATTTTTCATTAAGTCAAATACTGACGTTTTTCATGTTTAAAATTGTTAGGTCAATTTATATTCATTTACACTGTCTGAATTGTCTACAGATTTACCGTTAGGTCCCGTTCATGAAAAGAGCACACGGCGGGTGTGACCTGTCGGCAGGGGATGCTCACTCCTTCATGGCATCTGATCCCACCGCTGGTGTTTTAGAGGTCCGTCTTTTCTCTTCTCCTATTAAAAATTTTGTATTGTTTTATAGACTTTAAGCGCGAATACTGTTCGTTATCTCCATATCTATCAGGCAATATGAGCCCGTAGTCATAGCCATAGAGCTTGGTTGTTTGATTTTTCAAGTAAAATATCCAAATATGAAACAGATGTGTCAGATTTTTTGGTATCTTTTATCTCAAGCTCACCGGGATACTACTGAGTATATCGTGTTGACATAAGATTAAATATATACATTGGAAATAACCATTGCTAATTGACAATACGTTAATACTTTCACCAATAATATTTTGGAGAGATTCTGCTTCTAATAAATACAAACGCACATCTTGGGAATTGAAGACCTGTCTCCAAAAAAGACATATATTGTCAATCAGAAACTCAAGCATCTTTTTGTTGTCAACTTCAGTGTACTTGCGTGTACAAACAGAATGCTTTTAAGAAAATTATTTTGCAAATGACAAATACAATGTATTTTGGGGGTCCAGGGGGCGAAGCCCCCGGAAGCTCCTGGATTTAAGAGATTTTGTAGGGTAAAAATGAAGTCTACCAAGTATACATATTTACATTTTCTAGACGAAGCTGTGATTTACGTTATTTTTTTTTTGGGGGGGGGGGGGGGGGCGCCGGGTGCGCCCCCCTTAAATCCGCCACTGATCATTATAAAAAATCTTGGGGTCCGTTTTACAAATTTTTACAAACTTTTAGACCCAAATTTAATTCTGCTACTTAAATATAACTTTCCTGTTTATAATAAATACGTAATGGTTTTATTAAGTCGTAAAGATACTTTAACTCCAGAAATTTTAAACAAAATCATAAATTTTACAAAATTTATTTACAGTCAGCTGAAGATTTAGTAAGTTGTCTTGAAAAACTGGGATCTGGACTTTACGCATCGGGATCGGAGTACGTAATTTGTAAAGCAGACGACGTCGTAATAATAATAATAATAGATTGTAATGTATTTTGTCGTAGATTTAACATCTTGTGGGTGACCACACTGACCAGTGAAGCTCAAGTGAATAAACACGAAGAAAATGGACTTTTACCAATGTAAGTAGCTTAGTTTTTGGAAATGAAAGTCAAATCACTTTTATAAAATCTAAAAAAAAAAAAAAAAAGACTGCTGTCATCACTTTCACCGGTGTGTCATGTAAACAATAAGGCCATTCCCGTTTTTTCCCCTTGTTTAGCGCCCACCTTAAATTCGAAAACCCATATTTCTATTCGAAAAAAAAACCACACACACACACACACACAAACCAAAACGAAAAAAAAAACGACAACAAAATTTTAAGAATTTTTCAACATTACTCATTTAGAATTTTTTTTCGCATAGAGTTAAACTACTGGTTTATTGGAGGAAAAAAATGCTACCAAAAAGAGATAGAACTACTGATCCCTAAATATTATTATTAAATTGCGTTTTTAAGGACGCTCTAAACTCTAAAGTCTAAACTCTGCACACTATAAACAGCTCTATTTATTGGGTATCTTTTGCAGAGTGATCTGCCCTTAGAAATAGATTAAGGACAGAGGATGCAAACAAATTTTAGTCAAAAAATTTGAAAATAACAACTTGAGTCATATTTAATTAGTAAAATGAATAAGTTTAACGGCGTAGTTTTTGAATTTTTATTCAAATTCTCAAAAAAATGGGATTTGAAGAGAAAAATATATTTGTGTAGATTAATAAGGATAGAATTTTGAACATCATAGAAGGTTTACAATTTCTTTATATTCTAGAAATTTATTTTTTACATCATTTTCAATGAAATAAGACCAGAAAATATATACCAATCCAGGCATCCATTTATTTTATTTGTATCATCTGTCCTTAAAGAAATTGTTATTTACCGTTAATTATGTACGTAACTTATAATAGATTAAAATAGTTTTAGAATTATATAAGACCAAGAGTGAGTGAAGAGTAAGAAATTTAATTAATTAGTCTTATTTATTTTCCCAATTTGTAAGTAAACAACAGTGATTTCTGCTCACAAATACTCCATTGTCTTTGATGAACATTTTTCCTGCGCAAATAAGGCATGTACCCTATGTTCTAAATGAATGAAAACGTCTTAATATGCATATCTTTATATGATATATTTTTCCCTGAGTCCAAAAAACAGTTTCTGTTGGTGTTTAGAGCTTCCTTAAGATAATTTGTATGTGTAAATTTTAAATTTGTGTTCGTTTAATTTAATTCATAAACTAAAAACCTATTGGAATGGCCTTAATTATTTGCGAGGCTCACTGGTGATATTGTTAACACTGCTTTATTTATGAAACTGTCATTAACTGGCCACTCCTGTGATCGTTTTACCGGCACCGGTATTTGTCTTAAACTGGACAGTAAAAAAGAAGTGTATTCAATGATTACTTATTGAAATATGCTTTATTTAATATTAAATTAACCATTGCAGGCACGTAGCAGCTTGGAAAGGGGGGGGGGGGCTGCCCCTCTTTTTTCAGACATAACTTTTACTGTTGAAATGTTCATTGAAAGGCTGGTTGCCTTCTCCCTTCCCCCCACTTTTTTCTAAAGTAAAGTAATGTTATTATATGGAAAGAATTTGTTATTGAAAGAAGTTGGTGTTGAAAAACGTTGGCCTTTACTTACAACAACCCCCCCCCCCCCTCCACCCCCATGAAATAGGATTTTCGGGTTAGGGCCACTTTAAATTTTCCTTTTTTGCGTGTCAATTTTTTTTTCAGGCTAGTAAATTTTTTCTCTGGCTGCCCTCCTCCCCCCTCCACTTTCAAAAACGATGCTAAGTCAATGCATCGGTATCTCCGAGAAATATGTATTTTGTGGAATACATAAATTACCAGTGATTTGTTTCAGCAGACTTCCTTCACTTCTGTAAGATTTTTCAGGTTTTTGTAACGGTGATAAACGATGTTTTTCAAAATTCAAATATTCAGAAATCAAATTAAACGATAGGAAAACAACACATGGTTCGTTTGGATAATATCTTTTCATTTAAATTTCACCTGTATCTCGTATATTGTTTTTTGTATATATTGTACATCATGTACCATTAATTGGTTTGATGAATAAATTGAACTTGAAAAAAATCATTTATTTTTTTCATGTAAGAATGTAGACTTGATAAAAAATCCTTATTACATACTCATGATTTGCATTCCATGCAGATCTTATTTAATAGTAATGGAATTTTCGTTTCAGTTGTCCTTCTTGCCAGCTGCATAGGTCAGATATCGGTAAGGACCAAGTTTAATTTTGCATGTGTCTTTTGACAATACTGACAAATTAAATTTATACAATGATTTAGCTCTAAATATAGCCCTAAGCAATACAGAATGATAAAAGATACACTGTACTAATATTCATTGTTTATCTGTTCAATTTTTAGCATATTGAATATAGGACTCCCTCCCCACCAAATACATATTACACATGCGCACGCGTGCGTAAAGCAATGCCATGGACTTTTGTTTATTTGCACAACAACTGCAAAATTCCTTTTATTATATAGAGACTTCTCTTTAAAAATAAGATCTTGATAAATCGGTTATGAACAAATAATGCTTTGATAACAGAACCGAAGTCAATCATTCAAACAAAACTTACAAAAGTTATATTTTACTTCTTTTTAGTGTGAGTTGGATTTTAAGATAGTAGAAGTGCATGTACATGACTTCTCTCCTACCCCCTTAACAAAACCATTGCTTACCTGCAAACATAGCTGCAAACTTGTTTCAGTTATAGCTGCAAGCTTGCTGCAATGAGGCTAAAGAAAATATGGCAGCATATGAAAAACCTTTGTATTTGCAGCAAGTTTGCAGCAAGTATGAAGCAAGCTGGCAGCATTGTGAAATCACAAATTTTCGTGAGGGCTTAATTTTCGTTGTTTTCGAGGTGTGAAGAGCGCCACGAATTCATGTCCATCACGAAAGGTAAAATGTGACATGCATTACTACTAAACAATTCTACATCCACGTAATCAAATTGCCACGAACCAAGAATTTTTCCTAAAACTTTGACCTCACGAAAATTTGACCTCACGAAAATGTGTGATTTTTACAATATTTCCATTTCTATTTTTTTTCTCTGTGATAACTGTTTGAAAGTTGGAGGGGTTTATTTCTTGATAATTCTACCGGAATGTAAATTAGTGTGTGTCGATAGGTCAGTAGCTAAGGAGGCCTAAAATCATGCAAATCTCGTGCGCATCTGTCTCTGTGTCTGACGCTTTAATTTCAGGCCAAATATGCATGTAAATCTCGTGCGGCTGCCTTTCTGTTTGACGTCAGTGTGCGAGGACTATTGAAATTGGCATGGGAGTCCTCGTGTAATTTAAATCTATTAGTCTACATTTTTAATGTCTAAGTCTACAATTTTATTTCACAATGAAATTTGAAATATAACTTGTTTATCATGCCTAGTTTGGAGAGTAACCTGCCAAGGACATCAACAATAGTGGGAAACATGGGATAATTTTCTTGCATAACGTTCAGCCCGTTAAATTTGCTGCAACTTGTAGCATAATTTTAGCATAACGGGCTTCGCCCGTTATGCAAATTACAAACAAAAAGTTCTCCCACTATTGTTGATGCCCTGGCATACTCTCCAAACTAGACAGTGATTCCTTAAATACATTTACAAAATTTGCAGTAAACATTGGATTTTCCAATTATAGAGATATTGTTTCATATATAAATAAAACAAAATCAAACGAATCAGATGTTATGTGTGCCATTGTCCACCTACATCCAGATTTAATACGCTTTTAAAATCATTCAAATTGGTAAATACTGTATACAGGAGTATTTTCGTCCCATGTTTTGCCTTTAATTTCACTTTGGCAAACAATTTTGTCCCGTTTTAGATTCGCCAGTTCACAGGTTTTTTTTTTAAAGAAATACAGGACCTTTGTGCACTTTTCTCTGGAAGATGTCGTATTCCTTACAAAATACTAAAACATCTACAACTTCCATTCAAACATTTCAATATGGCGAATTCTGTGTTGACCCCATTACATTCTGCATTTAATTTGCTTATTTGACTTGTTTACTCATGTTTACTGTTCTAGCGATTAACCTGCAACAATCAATTTGATTCGCAAATTTGCTTCGAACAACAGATTGGCCTGTATGTTTCTTGCAATGTTCAGTTTGTGTAAATTTGCTGCAAGCTTGTAGCAATCGCTGCGATGTTTACTGAAAGATCACAGCTAGTGGCAATCATCTATACATAATACAAACAAAAAGTTCTTCCTGCGAATAATTTTACTTGCTGCAAACTTGCAGACTTGGAAAAGTAAGTAGATGGTGAATTATATATAGTCGTATATATGACATTTATCTCAATTTCAGATGAACACAAGAAAGAAGAAACTGACTTTGTACCACATGGAATTTGAAAAATACGAAGGTGCAACGTCTATTTCAGGTTTGTGGGAAAATGGGAAAATTTAACACTATTATAATTTTATTGCATTTTCCCTTTTTTTGCCCCACCGTGAAATGGCCAGGGACATATAACTAGTGTTGCCCAGTTCCACCATTCGGCCATTCTGTCATTCCTTCATGACTGACTTTCCATTTATTTTCTCGGCAACAGTTTCACACATTCAACTCACATATGGAACATGGATACGTCCGCAGGTCAGGTTAGAATACGGCTATGGCATGATGAATTTTGACAGAGTTATCCCTCTTGAACTAAAAAAAAATTTGAACAAAAACTGTACATGCTGTAGACATTTTCAGTTTCCACTCTCTTATACTTTTGTAGGGATGTATATATTATACAGTTACAAGGTTAAAATTGCATGTGCAAGTATTTTATCAAAACATACAAGCCTTGTTCGAATTTGGAACGATGATTTTTGACAGAGTTATCCCTCTTTGTCTTGGTCAGAGTTATCTCGTCATGGTCTGATGATTTTTGACACAGGTTAAATACTTCTTGAACTTGGGAAATATAAGACATATTTAGATTTCGCTCTTTAACATGTTTAACTTTGTGGGGATTAATGTATACTCATAAGTTTAAAATTGACTGTGTACTAGGCATTTAAAAACAAAATACAGAATTAGAACAAATATAAAACTAAATATGGAATTTGAAATTTTTGCTGTTTGTTTCATTCGTGGCTTTTCATCACATCTAGTCTTTTACTGTTATGAACTCCCTTTAATTCTTGTCCGTCATCACAACTTAAATGTTTTTCAAGATTGTCTTAATATGTCTTACATAAGTTGTACTCTATATAGGTGTATACTCATTAGTCAGAGATTGTACTGATGTACTCTATACAGCTGTATACATAGTAGCCAGAAATTGGACTATTGTACTCTATACAACTGTTTACTAATTAGTCAGAGATTGTACTGTTGTACTCTATACAGGTGTAAACCCATTAGTCAGAGATTGGACTGTTGTACTCTATACAGCTGTATACTCATTAGTCAGAGATTGGACTGTTGTACTCTATACAGCTGTATACTCATTAGTCAGAGATTGGACTGTTGTACTTTATACTGCTGTATACCCATTAGTCAGAGATTGGACTGTTGTACTCTATACAGCTGTATACCCATTAGTCAGAGATTGGACTGTTGTACTTAGTCAGAGATTGGACTGTTGTACTCTATACAGCTGTTTACTCATTAGTCAGAGATTGGACTATTGTACTCTATACAGGTGTATACCCATTAGTCAGAGATTGGACTGTTGTACTTTATACAGCTGTATACCCATTAGTCAGAGATTGGACTGTTGTACTTTATACAGCTGTATACTCATTAGTCAGAGATTGGACTGTTGTACTTTATACAGGTGTATACCCATTAGTCAGAGATTGGACTATTGTACTCTATACAGCTGTATACTCATTAGTCAGAAATCGGACTGTTGCACTTTGTACAGCTGTATACTCATTAGTCAAAAATTGGACTGTTGTTCTCTATACAGTTGTACCAAAATACCACAAAACTAGTTTGCTTGTTTGTTGATGAACAAATATGCAGTTACCCAGAAATTTCTATTCATTCATCAAAACTTAAGTGACATCTGATGAAGATCTATCCAACATACATAATGTGCTTCGCGAAAGGCTACTCACCAGGATCAACGATTATCAAATTCCATTAAGGGGCCTTCTTAGGCATGTTAGGGTGAACAGGTATATTTTTGTGCTTTTCTTATTGTGTTTACCTGGAATAAGCCCAAATAACCAGCCTTTTCTGAAAAATCTTGGAAATAATGGAAAGAAATACGCACGCTAACTCTCGATTCCCGCCTACATTTTGGAACCATTTAATTTAATAGAAATAGCAATTTGGCCATAAAATCTTTGTTTAATACAAAGAACAGTTCAATGCTAATTGATGTATTGTCTTAATACCAGGGTTAAACAGTAAATTATCATAATTCCAGCTCTTGAAAAAAGGGGTAGACGATATTTTTCATTGAAATCGGAGTTTCAAGCATCACCATATTTTGAAATAGTCTTGGATATGGTTAAAAGTTCCTTATATCTTTTCATATGTTCAGGCAAATAAATAAAACATAAATATATCAATAAAATTTGTTTCAGTTGTAAATCGCTTTGAAATTGGTGGAAAATAAGCATTTTTTATCGTTTTTTGTCAATAAACATACATCCCCCCCCCCCTTGTCACACAAAAAGCTTTGGTATGAATTTGTGAAATAACATTCCATATTACCTGTAAAAAGGAATTTTTGTGACACTGGGGGGAACAGATGTTTTAAAAATATTTTCCGTTTTTTGTTGATTTCAATATGAAAAACACAGTTTTTATTTTCCAAAATTTTAAAGTTATCTCTCTTTGTTTTTCCAAATAATAATATTTTGCGAAAATCCATATAATTTTCTATAAAATACATTAAAAATTCATCTAATATGTTAACTATTTGAAAATTTCTTAGAGTGTTTAGGCGGGAATAACAAATAACCATCCTTTTCGAAAAATCTTGTAATCTTTTTGTGCAGTGATCGATCTGGTATACCCCCAAAATTAATAGTAAATAAACATTTTACATGTCGAGGTTATAGCTTACATTATACTTATATTATTCAGATAGGAGGACCCTTGATGTTGAGGGCAGTATCCAGATAGCAGACGATGCCAAAATTCTGATCCTGACATGTAAACCAAACATGGAAGCAAAAGATAAGGATGGGCAACTACTTTTCAAAAAAAAGGTCAAGGAAAATAAAGCCTTCAGGATTGAATGGAGGTCACCTGATAAAAAAATAAAAGGAATATATAGCATAATAGGTGAATATAGTCTCCATTTACTTTCATTTTATTAGTTCACCTGAGCCAAAGGCTCAAGTGAGCTTTCCTGATCAAAATTTGTCCGTTGTCTGTCATTGTTAATGTTGTTGTTGTCATAAACTGTTCAATTTTCATCTTCTTCTTAAGAACCAAGGGGCCAATTTTAATCAACCTTGGCAGGGGATTCAAGTTTGTACAAATGAAGGAAAACACCCTATTCCAAAGCAAATAACTCAGAAAATAGATTGGAAATTGGATTGGTGAATGATTTTATGGTGACAATGCAAAATTGAGTGAAATTGGACAAGTTGCTCTGGAGAAGATGGAAATATAAAACGTTTACTGTCATGGACAGTCTTATTGACAAACGGACGGACAAATGTTGGACAAATGGAAGCTCACATGAGCTAAAAATAATTTAAGTTAAAATCCCATTATTTTATTTAGCCTTTTTTAAGCTTGTCTAAAAATCTTCAATCTCATCAAAAACTTGTGATTACTGGCATCTTATTTTTCTTTCAGAATCTGAAGCTAAAGACGACATGTTTGGTTCAAGTAATGCTAGATGGCGAAGGAAGAGTGCTAAGTTTGTGCCGCATTTTTTCATTTCAGCACTGGGAAATAGAAATATTCAAGCCACTGTTACGAAAAGTCAGTATTTCTGCCCCTATAAACAACACCTTTTTATGAAGACTGAAATGATAGTTAGTTTATCTAGATCTGACATATATCAGTTTTTTGTTTTGCTTATCCTATTTCATAGTATAGAAGTTACTTGCTATCGTCTGTTCTTTCGTCCGTCTTATCATGTTGTAAATTTTGAATTTACTAGGGGGAGGTAAATGCAAAATTTACAACATGATAACTGTTATCATGTTGTAAATTTTGCATTTACCTCCCCCTAGTATATTCAAAATTTACAACATGATAGTCTTCTTGACTGGAATTTTACTACTTTCATTCAAAGCACTGCATCGTGAAAATTAACAAAAACTCAAAAGTGCTTCATTTCTACATTTACTTGTCACAAGGATTAGATACGTGAAGTATGAAAGCCCTAGCATTTACCGTTAAAAGTTATGGCCAAGGTAAAATATTTTTTAAAGTAGGTCAATCTCTAAGGTCAGGGTCAATAGGACAAAGTTGTTGGTGTCCAATAGAAGGTCTTCTCACAAAGAATATATTTAGAAGTATAAAAATCCTAGCACCTACTGTTCAAAAGGTACGACCAAAGAAGGCGATACGGTCTTGTCACAAAGAATACATTTGCGAAGTCCTAGCACCAACCATACAAATGTTATGACCAAAAAAAAGGTTCGGAATTTGGAGCAAAAATGTGTCAAACTCCAGGTCAAAATGTCAAATTTGGAGGTACCCAATTAAAAGTCTTGTTGCAAGGAATACACCTGTGTAAAAGCCATAGCCCCACCCCGTCAAAAGTTATGTGTAAAGTTAAAGTTTTTGGGGACAAACAGCTAGACAAACAGACGGACAAGGCAAAAATATATGTATCCCTTCTTAATTAACGGGGCAAAATGCCTTTATATAAGTTCAAATCATTTTTCTGAATTTTTTAATAAAACCGGAATTTCGAAATTGTACAAACACGTAATGCAAGTGTGTATTTATGCCATTGAATAAATTAGCCCTTATGTATTTATTTATTTAATAACTTTATTTATTTATCTATCTATTTTTTAAAAATATTTTCTTATTTTACCAGGCTGTGGAAAAATGAAATAATGAGAGATTTTTTTTATATTTTTCTTGCAGGCTCTAGTAAAAGTTTTGTGACGGTGTATTTCATACTTCATCAATGTGAACCTATAAATGGGGACTTTGTTTGTGAAAACGCTGTGACTCTGAAAGATTCAAAATCACTTTTAATAAAAGATTCTTTTAACTTTAAAGACAAGCTAGATATATGTGAGTATTTTTATCAGTTTATAAAACATGTAACTTTAATCAATAACTACTTAAGTGTCACCTTAAGTGTCATTTCTAAAGTGAGATATACTACAGTGTAGTAAAATCCACATGTGACATCACTCTTTTTTTTAAGGTAGGATTCTTCGCACACAAAACTGTATTTCTGGTATTTAAAAATTTATGAAATTTTCACAGAATCAAGAAAACAATATTACTAAGTGATGGTATCAGTTAAGTTTTGACCGTTTCATATTAGAGTGAAGGTCAGGTCAAGGTCATTACCTTTTCCCCGGACATTAAGAATAATAAAAATGACTGCATTTAATCATGCGATGAGGTCTTCTTTTTCAAAAGATAAAATGTTTGTTAGTAATGTTTGTTTGGAAAATCATATTTATTTTATATATTTTAAAACTTTAGTCCCATATAGGGTTTAATTTTCGTTGTTTTCGAGGTGTGAAGAGACCCACGAATTCATGTCCACCATGAATTGCAAAATTTGACATACATAACTACTCAACAATTCTATATCCACGAATCAAATCCCAACGAATCAAGAATTTTTCCTCAAACCACGAAAATTTGACCCCACGAAAATATATGATTTTACAGTATATAAGTTGAATACTACTAATATGTAATTTATATATATTTACAGTGTATTAAATAAATATTCTTTATAATATATATATTAACAAACAATAATTACGATCATTTCGAAAGGTTGATTTTACGCGGGTTAATATACTCGTAGCGCTCCATTCCTTTAAAGTTATGGGTCTCGGCTCCATTAGTTTTAAGGAATGGAGCGCTACTCGTGCATTAACCCTTACGTATGAACAAGAAGGAGCACAGAATTAGTAATACTAGACTAAGTATTCTAATTTTCATACTTTATGCTGTTTCATCTTTTCCGTATTGACCACTTTTATACATAAATCAAAGTGTTAATTCAGATTCGAATATTTTTTGGTTCACCAGTAAATCCCAGTAAAATAATACATGTATATCAAAGAATAAGGTACAGTTTCAATACAAATTAAGCTCTGTATTTTTCTAAAATATGAAAGTGATATAAGAAATTAAGATTTATTCTTTCTGAATAATAGAAATTCCATGGAGTAAGAATACACACATCATTTTTCTCATAGGACCTCCTGAATGCTAATTGTGACGTCATATACGTATGCATTTTCCCGTATTTTCTTAAAAGGTTGCAGAAGACATCAATTTTCAGTGGAATTTTCTTTCAGAAAACATACTCTGCCACCGTCGCCCACAAAGATTTTGAGATATGTGATTTTTTAAAGCATTTTTTACACAATATATCCAAACACTGAAGTGGGCAACGGTGGCAGACACTATTTTCTAAAGGAAAATAAGCACAGAAATGAGTCATTCTGAGGCTATTCTGCATTAAACTTAGAAATGTACCAAATTAATAACGTCATATTTCCAGAATGGTCCTCCTTCATACCATATTCTTTAATGATTTATCATATTCATCTACTCAACAATTTATAAAGTCAATTTCATAACTTTTTAAGAACATTAAATTTTTAGGGCGCAATAAAGCCCAAACTGTACATTCTTCTTTGATTGAATTCACTACATGTATTTTTAAAATTATTTATTAATAAATTACTCTAAAAGTGGTTTGACGTGTTTACATCATTAAAAAAAGTTTCTTACTTTCATTATTAAATGTTTGATTTACAAAAAAAGCATTTTTAGCTCAGCTGAGCCGAAGGCTCAAATGAGCTTTTCTGATCAAAATTTGTCCGTTGTCTATCGTCGTCGTTGTTGTCGTCGTTGTCATTGTTGTTGTAAACTTCTCACATTTTCATCTTCGTCTCAAAAACCACTAGACCAATTTCAACCAAACTTGCTACAAAGTATCCTTGGGTGAAGGGGATTCAAGTTTGTTCAAATGAAGGGCCACGTCCTCTTCCAAGGGGAGATAATTATGAATTCTTAAAAAATCTTTTCAAGAAACACTGGGCCAGGAAAAATGAAACTCAAGTTGAATCATCCTCAGGTTGTGTACATTCAAGTTTGTTCAAATTATGACCCCCGGGGGTAGGGTTGAGCCACAATGGCTGATCAAAGTTTTACATGCATAGGAATATATAGCCTAGGAAAAATCTTTAAAAATCTTATTCTCAAGATGCATAGATACAGGAAAGATGAAACTTATGTTGAATCATCCTCAGTAAGTTACATTCAAGTTTGTTCAAATCATGACCCCTGGGTGTAGGGTGGGGCCACAATGGCCGATCAAAGGTTTACATAGGAATATAAAGGTAAAATCTTTAAAAAAAAATTCTTCTCAAGATCCATACGGACAGGAAAGATGAAACTCAAGTTGAATTCTCCTCAGGTAGTGTACATTCAACTTTGTTCAAATCATGACCCCCATAGTGTAGGGTGGGGCCACAATGACCGATCAAAGTTTTACGTAGGAATATATAGGGAAATCTTTTAAAATTTTCTTCTCAAGTACTGCAAAGCCATGATTATTGATATTAATAATAAATATATGGAATCATCCTCAGATAGTGTATGATTAAATTTGTTCAAATCATAACCCCCAAGGGTAGGGAAGGGTCTCAATGGTGGATCAAAGTTTTACGTAGGAAAATAAAGGGAAAAATCCAAATAACAGAAAAGATATGTTTAGCCAACAGTCACTTGTTTCGGGAATAAATTTTAACCCATAGTACTAGTATAATAATAACACCCTTGTGTTATTATTATACTATTGGTCAAAAATTTACTACAGAAACAAGTGCCTGTGGTTTAGCCATATTGACATGTTAGCATCTTCATGCATTGAAGATTTAAATTTGTTCAAATCATGAGTATCCTTTGAGGTAGGGGGGATGGGGAGTCAAATTCATATTATTACAAAGCAATACTGTATATACAAACAAAATGTTAAAAAAAAAAATCATTAAAAATCTTTTTCTCAAGAACTTTTTCAATAAGTTATATGTAGTATTGATATGGAGACATTCTCAAAGAGTATTAGAATTCAAGCCCCCCCCCCCCTCCCACCCCCTCGGTAAACTTTCAATTCGGATCTGATTTGTGCTTTTTCCTAGCTCAGGTGAGCGATGTAACCCCTGGGCCTCTTGTTTCATAAACCCATTTTGCTGAGTTTTTTTATGCAGTGTAAAAGGTGTTATGCAAAGAACTCCATTGAAATTCTTGAATCTTTTGTTTTTCTGAATGCGGTTTGGTCATAATCGACTGATTGCGTTGCTGATTTAATATGCGATAGTATGGTGTTCATCGTCCGTCCGTCTATCTAGCTGTCTGTCCGTTCTGTCTTTAAACAATTTTTTCAAAATGCTACTCTTCCTAGAGTTTTGGTCGGATTTCAATATAACTTGACACACAAGTAGACTACACTAAGATACATAATTCTGTGCATCGGTTTTTGATTTTAATGAATGGTGTTGCCATGGTTACTAAAAGTAGAAATTTCTGTGAAATTCATTTTAAACGCTACTCCTTCTACAGTTTTGGTCTGATTTCAATATAACTTGGCACACAAGTAGACTAAACTAAGATACATAATGTAGTGCATTGGTTTTTGATTTTGATGAACAGTGTTGCCGTGGTTACTAAATATAGAAATTTCTATGAAATTCCTTTGGCGCATCGATTTTTGATTTTAATGAATGGTGTTGCCATAGATACTAAAAGTAGAAATTTCTGTGAAATTCATTTTAAGGTCATACGCAACCTAAAGAGTTCCACTAATAGAAATGTGTGAAATACTTTTTATGATATATGGATCTGTACACCTTTTTTAAAACAATTTATGATGAAAAAAAATCTGGGATTTATGTTTTGTAATTTTTGTACATTTTTCTTTGAATAGTGCAAAAAATTTCATAATTTGATATCTTTTCAAAACCCGTGGTAACGCATGTTGATTTTTTGCTAATGTAATGGTATTATAAGTTTAAAAGTAGAAATTTTATCAGTAGTTAAATCTCATTCCTTAAACGCTACTCCTTCTACAGTTTTGGTTTGATTTCTATATAACTTGGCACTCAAGTAGACTAAACTAAGATACATAATGTAGTGCATTGGTTTTTGATTTTGATGAACAGTGTTGCCGTGGTTACTAAAAATAGAAATTTCTGTGAAATTCTGTGAAATTCCTTTTAAACGCTACTCCTCCTACAGTTTTGGTCTGATGACAATGGCCTCTTCTCTCTTCCTTTGTTTTAAGTACAAACCAGTAGAGCTACAGTCTCGACAGAGACTTCTGGTTCTTTTTATTCTCTAGGTATGCAGAAGAAACCCAGTGGTGGTTCCCATACGTATGTACGTACATGTATCGGTATATGTATTCCTTTTTTTTAACTAACATGTGAACGAATTTACTATCTATGTTTGGTTATATAACAGGACATTGCAAATTCTCCATATGAGTTCTCTACCCAAATATTTTATTAAGACGTAACTTAAATAAGCTTTAGTACTTAAGAATAAAATATCAAAGGGGTTATTTATTTATAATGTGCTTTGCACCGCACCAGAATTTTAGTGGGTGCTCTATAAATTCCAAATAATTGTTTAATATTTCAATACTTGTTGCATTATTCGAGTCTAAAAGTGCCTGCTTGATGAAAGTACTTTGAATTCTCTGTGTGTGTGTGTGTGTGTGCGTGTGTGTGTGTGTGTGGTTTTCTTAAACCTGAAATTCCAGTAAAAACAAGGATGTGACGATTAGAAGTAAAATCTAAATTTGAAGAACTAATTTTCCATCGTCTTTTTCGCGAAATTCTTCAGTTTTTTTCACTGAACTTATAAACTTCATTACTGTTCTTTATCTCCATTTTTTAATGTGACCGGTCGGCAAGGGATACTCAATTTTCCAAGGCACCTGATCCCAACGTTGATGTATTGAGGGCCCTTGTTTGCTCCGCGCTTATTTTTAAAGTTAAATGGACTCTTTTCGTTATCTCCACAGATTTCATTCATTCATTCAATGGTAAATGTACCATTTAAAATTCTCCGGTTCGGACAAATTTTGTAAGTGAACTAGATGCTGAAAGAAATGTGCTTATAGCTCTTCCCGAATGTAGTATTTATTTCTCCAGAAGTCATGGCCAGGGGGGTGAGAACAAGTTGACTTGATATATTATAATATCACACATGTATTCTTAAAAATCTTAAAACGTACAATACACTGTGGTAGTCGACATGAACGATTTCTAAATTTCATCTTTGAAGTTCAAAGATCTGGATAACGACAAAAATGGACTAAATCAGGTCTAAAACTACTTTGGACTTTGTTTTAGTATCATTTATGCGGAATACCAACGAGTTTCACGACCAACGTTAACTCGCGAATAATAATTGTCGTGAAACATTTATTTAGCTTTGTATTTGTTGAGAATGTTTAGCAATGTAAAAACTGTGAATAAAATAAATTGACATATATGTATTTCTCATAAAAATTGCTTCGTAGTTTTATTCAAATCTTATTATAATAATCCGATTCTTGTAGATATTCTAAAATTTGAATAAAATGCTTGGAAATAAAAATATGGATATGTTTCTTTATAGGACGAACTTTCTGAAGAGTACAGCAAATTTCTGGCAGAGAGTTTCAACAGAGAAGGTATATTAATCCAATCCAATGGTTGAATTATGCAGTACGCCTCTTTAATATGAAATCCACCTGAGAATGATGCAAAAGTATTATAAATGTTACAGGATAATGAATTTTTTTCTTTTTTATTTCTTATTTAAAATCTTTGGAGGTTTCGGAGTAGCAGAAATAAAACTTCAGGAAGCAGAGAAAGGTGAGAAGAGACAAGTCACAGTGAAGTGTGGAATTGAGGAGAAGTATGTTGATGACGTGACAGAAGTGCTGGGGATCTTCATCTTCTACCAGCCCCTGTGGATGATACCCCAAGCACGCGTCCTCCTGGCAGGGCTTACAAAGACCAAAGTGTGGACAGATCCCTACAACATCCGAATGTTCCCACAGTTCTCAGCAATGCTGAAGGCGAAAGATGCGAGTGGCAACTTGGGGCTAGGTGAATATATTTGACAGGATATTATCCTCTGATAACACGATTATAAAATTGTGAAATGTTGTCTGTGGTCGATACAATGGTCTGGTCATTTAATACAAAATATCACAAAGACAATTGCAGATGAACTTTTTTTCATGTTAATTGCTTGGCCATTATTTACTCACTGCATTATCTAAGAATTTTTCTGATTTTATTTCCCCGATCATGCAAGGAGCGCGCTTGGCGGGTTTGACTGGTCAGCAATAGATGCTTACTCCTTCGTGGCATCTGATCCCACCTCTTATGTTTAAGAGTCACATGCTTTCTCTTGTGTTTTAAGCTTAAATATTATTCATTTTCTCCATATATCATCATTAGATTTTTTAACAAATGTTATAATAAGTATCTGGGATACTAATACACACCATACATATATTTAGGTGAAGAAGCAAACTTTGCTGTAAACATTCCTCTTGACGAATGCGACGCCCTACCGGGAAACTTCCAGTGTGCAATGGCGGCGACGGTTGAAGGACAAGCAAAGCATCCGGAACATAAACATTCGGAAATAGAGACGGAGATAATTCGAGCTGTTTACAAACTGCAAAGAACAGCAGCAGCAAAACCAACAAAAAAATGTAAAAACAATTTATAACAGGTCACAGTAAAAGTTTATATATTAAAATCTTGTCATTTTCAGCTTAAGTTCTTTAGTTACCATTTATTCTTTAATGCATGAATTAGGTCTCTTACCGTTTTTAGGTCACCTGAGCCGGAGGCTCAAGTGAGCTTTTCTGACCATATTTTTTTCCGCGGTCTGCCGTCGTTGTAGTCGTAAACTTTTCACATTTTTTTTCAACTTCTTCTCAAGAACCACGGGGCCAATTTTAACCAAACCTGCCACAAAGCATCCTTGGGTGAAGGGAATTCAATTCTTTTTATATATGAGGGGCCAAGCCGATTTCCAAGTGGAATATAAATATGAATTATCGAAAAATTAAAAAAAATCTTCTCAAGAACCAGTCGGCCAGGAAAGATGAAACTCGTATGGAAGTATCCTCAGGTAGTGTAGATTCCATTTGTTCAAATCATAAGTCCAAGGGGTAAGCTAAAACCACAGTGGGTGATCAAAGTTTTACATAGGAATATATAGGAAAAAACTTCAAAAGTTTTTTTTTCTCCAGAAAAGCGAAGCCCTGATTGGTCATATTTATATGGAAGCATCTGCAGGTGGTTTCGATTCAAGTTTGTTCAAATTATGGCCCCTGGGCGTAGGGTGGGAATCCCTACAGTGGACGATCAAAGTTTTACATAAGAATTCAAATTGTTCAAATCATGACCCCGGAGGGGGGTGTGTGAGTAGGACCACAATGAAGTCCAAACTCGTAGGAAAAAATTAGTCAATCAAAAAATATGTACGCATATTTTAAATTAGTATAGATTAAATTTTGTTCAAATCCTACCCCCTCTCCTAAAACCACATTGATTTTTTTCCCTAGCCAGTGCTCCATTGAGCGATGTGGACCTTGGGCCTCTTGTTGGTAACTGTTAAATCTTCTTTCTATTTGAAGGCAAAGTAAAACCAAAGGCTGATGCATCTGTGTCGATGACTAAAATGACATCGAGCGCGTTAAGAAGATCTGACGGAATTAATATAAGTCCAGCTGTCCACTGGATGGTGGCTGCGGTAATGTTAGTAAGGATCGCCTGTTAAAACTTGGTACATAATGTTTTGAGTAAGTCTATAGTGTCGTCAGCAAATGAAGACGCTTATTCTTTATTGAAACAATGTGGAATTCCTTCTTCTGTATTTATTTCATTGAATTTCACTATAATTTATATACATTTATATTTATGACATATCTTCATTAAAAGGTTTACATATGTAAAAGATTGAATGAATCATCTGTTTCCTTATGGTTCGATGGAATGAGCACACGGCGCGATGGTGATAACATCGGGACGATGACGATAAAGCGATGTTCAACATCGCTCAATGACAACATGATCATTAATATTACACCATCGCATCATCATCCTTGCACTATTCTGTTGTCGCATCATCGACCCAACAATCCTAAGCAATGGTGAATTTCATGGCCCTATCTGAATTCTATGCATGTATGGTGCTAATTTTTTCTCCTTTACTTCTTCCTTTGTTTAATTTCTTCAACGTTTTTTGACCTTGACCTTCATCTTAGTCTACTTTGAAAGAAAGGAATCAAGATATTGCACATACTAATATCTAGGTCATGTTCTGATTTGGATCTGATCGAGGATATTCGGGACAGAATTATGTCCCTTGGACTTAGAAAAATTCCAATGGGGGAGGGGGCATCAATCTCTCACCAGAGAGCGTACAATGTAATACACTTCGCAACAACATGTCATTGTGGAACGAAAACTCTGGGTAGAGATTCGGGTGTGTGTGGGGTGGTTTTACAAACATCTTCTGTTAAAATTAGACCATTCATCTCGCTCTTTGTAAATTATTTGTTGCAATTTACGAAGAGTGGAGAGCGCATATAATAATTTGGTTTGTATAATGTTTGAAAACCCAATGGGTACACCCATTTTTATGTAAATTTATACATTTTTTTCTGTTTTAATCATAATAGAGTACTTTTTTTTCATTTCATACGATGTTTTTCTGGGTAAATGACAAAAATAACTAATTGTAGTGAAAATCTGATACTTTATCTAAATCACAACCTCCGACAACCCCTAACCCTTATTCAATATTGGACTATTCAATGTACACTCGTCATGTAGATTAGTTTATAACAACATCAAATAGAGTTGACACACTTTAATATTAAGTCAGGTTATTCAAATTGGAAATCATATCCTTACATAAATTTTGGTTTGTGTGATTTTTTTTCTCGTGTTTTAATTCGGACTCTGAATGGTACAAGGATAATTATATAGTTATATTTATATACATGTACTTATAAAGTGTACTACAGTATACTATGCACATGTTTTACTTTTATATATATAAATACAACTTTCAAAACCTAATGTTATTCTTAAGATTAATCAATATTGGTACATTTTGCTTTTATTCATATCAGCCTCATCAGCAGTAAGAATAAGTTTATTTGGGAAAAAATATCCAATGACGCTTTAGGTTATATTACGTTTTATGCATTGAACGTAATAACGCCAAAACGCCAAATTTTTACGTGTGTAACATTTATGTTGACATTTATATTTTGTTAAGATTTTGTCATCATTCCATTGAAAATTATTTCGGAATATACTATTAACTTTTTCAAAAGATGCACATTTCATAAAAATCTTCTCATTTTCAATATGTCTATTTTTAATGACTATACATATGATTTATGTTACCACATTTATAAAATTATAGTTAGATTTATTACTTTTGGACAATGTGTGACATTTATGTTGACATTGTAAAAAGCCTGTAAAACAAACACTGATTAATAGAATCAATTCAGTTTCATATCTAAATGAAGTTTTGATTTTGCAAATTTTGTATTAAATGTCGTTTGGTGCCAAATTAGAAAAATGAATTCTTAAAATGAAGGTAATATCTGAGTTTAGCATTTAAATGTGACGTTTTTGCCGTCAAATTCAATTGTGACATATAGCTACATGTAGTACATATATGTGAAACAGCAATTATTAATAAAAATTTAAGACACCGCAAGTTAAATTTCTGTCTAGTGATCTTTTCTTTAATAACATGGCAACATTTTGTAGAATTTAAAATAATTTTCAACATTAATTTTTCACCCAGCATTACAAAATTTACCATTTTACGAATCTTAAAAACTTTGTGACAATGAAACTCCGAACTTTGTGACACACTATCTTCTTGAACATCCTCACAATAAATCGGCTTAATATCAGAAATATAACATACATATCAACCCAAAATATCAGTCTTTCATAAAATATAGTTCTTAACACACAAAAAGGATGATTGAAATGTAATTCAAAAATAGATTTAGCTCATGTATTTATTATTCTAAGTAGACTTTTTATGTGTATCCCATATTTCGTCGATTAACGCGCGTCTACACCTCTGTCTTGGATTTGGAGCGACGCGTTCAGAGCATACGGATTAAATGACATTACAATTTTAAAAATTTACATCATTAACATTATATTTTGTATTTTTCTGCCAAATTTTATGTTTGTATTATTTGTTTTAAGGAAGTTATCAACATTTTGTAATTGCGTGTACGACGCCCCTGTTACCGATCTACATGCGTTTTTCTCGTAATTGACGGAATAGTTAAATTAATATCTTTGATAAATGGAATTTTTTTATCAATATTTTTGTTAAAATGTATTAAGTATACAATTACCGACCGAATGATATATAGTTTTCATATAGTGAATTGTTTAAAAATTATGAAAATAGCGCAAATGCCGCCGCAATAGTAATTTTTTTTTTACTTTTTGACACCAACACCGTGCGCGACGTCTGAATTAATTTCAAACAGTTAAAAAATCATGCTTGTACTCCCCAAGAATGGCATCGTATGGAATATTTTTCTTTTTCTTTTGGTAGTCAAGGAATCTCTATTTACTTGCAACCCCTCCTGTCGCTCAAATCGGAAGATTGCTCCCTTAATTAGTGGCTACAATATCTTGAAATAGCTCCCCACCAAATTATATAATACAAAGGAGAAAGTACTTATCAAGTGATTTATTAATAGACTATAGATGCACTTTTAGTATAAAATAAAGTGTTCTACTACAGTTATATAAACTGTAAAACTGTCTTTTTCCATCCTGAAATTAAATAATGTCCTTGGTTGACATGAAAAGAAAATGAATTGCCACGCCCCCTCCCCCATCCCCTCATGGAATGACCGTCTCGTAAAAATAATGTAACCCCCTTCCCCTCGAAAAAATGGTCTTCTTTATTTTATTTCATTTTTTTCCTTTTAATATATGGTATTTGTTAGCAAAACAATTAATTAAGGCGGGATTATTCCGAGGGGTGGCAGGGGGTGCACGAAATGGAAAGTTCTTTACATACAAATCGGGATCGGAGTACCGATTTGCCAAGCAGACGACGTAAAAAATAAAAGATTGTAATGTACTTTCTCGTGGATTTGCACCTTGTGGGTGACCAGTGACGCTCAAGTGTATAAACATGAAGAAAATGGATTTTTACCATTGTAAGTAGCATTATTTTTAATTTTTAAAAGATAAAATCTAGTTGCATCAAGGATCGAAGTATAAAATGAGCCGTTCCAAGCTAAACCCCCCTTTATGTAATCTCATCTGACAGAATTTTTACGTCACAATAGAAAAAGCGACGTCGTTGTTTTGCAACAAAAACTGCGATCAAAATATATCGCGCACTGACTGCGATCCAACTACATGCTTTGTTTTACGTCACATGTTCTCCGTTGTGCTTTCTGCATATTTTCTTTCATGACTTTTGTCTATTTCATAGCATATCTGACTCTGATTGTTATCAAATTACATGTGCATTACACATAAAACGACCTAAGAGTGTTTTGATTAAATACAAAATTTGTCAACACTTCTGTAGTGTTCCATGTACAATATAAGTTTTCATTTAAATTAAGGACGGATGATACAAACAAACTTATGTCAGAAAAATTGAAAATAACAACTTTGGCCATGTTTAAATGAGTAAAATGAATAAGTTTCACTGCGTAGTTTTTATTTTTTTTATGCAAAATTTAACAAAAATGGGATAAGAAGTGAATAAAATTTGTATAGATTAAAAGGATGATTTCAGAAAGATAGACTTTTGAACATCACAGAAGGTTTACAATTTCTTTATATTATAGAAATTTGTTATTTGAATCATTTGCAATGAAATTAGACCAAAAAATATATACCGATCCAAGCATCCATTTTTTGTTTGTATCATCTGTCCTTAAATAAAACATGCAACTGTTGTTTAAATTTCTTATTCAACAATCAAAAAAAATATTTACATGTAATGATGATAATGAGTGTAAAAATATTTTTTAAAAGGAAGGAAGAGTAGTAGAAATGTTTTTTTTTTTAAACCAAAGTACTGGCGAAAATTGATTGGGCTTAATCACATGTCAAGAAAACTGCATGTAGGAATTAACACTAATCAAAATTGAGTGACAGAATTGTTAAACCACACCAATGCGGCATTGCCAGATCTAAATCCGGAGTATTTTTTCTTTTATTGTAGACCCAGAACCTCTTTAAAGAAAAGTGACACTAGTTCAGCTAACAAAGCTACATTAATTGAAAAGACCATAGGCGCTCCCCATGTAATTCTGTAAATGACGTATGATAAGTATATATATATATATAGGTCCAATCTCCCATGCAGAGTTGTCGTTCGTTCCTCTCTCAGACACCTCTGCAATGGGCTCACGTCAAGATTTTTGACATAACGTATAAAACGTGATATTTGCAGGATTGTTTCAAATTAAATTAATAGTTCCAGATTGATTTAGTAAATATCTATATAACTCATATAATGAAAACAAACGCACTATTTCTCGTGTTTATCACTGTGATATACGCGAGCCAACGACAGAGGTGAATGTATGAGCCGATGGTTGTGAATGTATGAGCCGATGGTAGAGAGTGATATAGGTCTACCCGCAGGGGTTCAAAAATCCTCAAGCCCGACGTCCCGGACTAACAAATTCCGGATCCGGACTCGGCATTTAGAATTCGCCAAAGTCCTGGGACTTGGCTAATGTTTCTTGTTTATCTTTTTTTATAAGTTAAAAAAATGATCGTAAAGCTAAAAATAAAGCAAATTCTCAAATGTATTAAGTAAAAATGTGGGTTTGTGGGCGTTAAAATACCCATAAAACATTACGAACGCTTCGAAAATACAATCCGTCTTTTTATTTTACGTTGCGGTTAGACTTTTGCTTTTACGCAATTCCGCATGTTTCCTTTTATATGACAAACGGCAATGAGTTTGTTAAATTTCGGTTTTAGCTGTGACTTACAGCACATTCTAATTTCTATTTATTGTAACAGATGGTTTATTAAGTAGTGAGTATTTGTAAAAGTTATTGTAATGTACCAGTAATCTATAAGTCTGGTATTGTGTTGAAATACTCATGTATGACTATATGACAGTTTATGGAGGAAAAATAAAACATATATTAATACACATAGTCTTTATTCATTCAATGCAACAAATGAAAATAAATTATAAATTTAATGATGTATAGGTAAATATGGACTCTGAAATTTCTTCCTCGGACTTGCCTAAAATTTACTCTTCAAGTCCTGGACTTGACCATGACAAAAAAAATTTTGAACCCCTGTCTACCCCTCTATGCTATAAAATAACCAAGGCCGGCAACTACTCCTCCATATTGGTTTCGCCTGAGGCCTCTGACTGACTTACTTTAAGGGTTTCTGGGGTATAACGTGCTAATTACAGCGAATTTTCATTTTTATCTTAATGAGGGTATTCAGACACACCTAGAAAACACATAATACACAAAATACACCATCCTGAAACCAAGCGCCTATGTACCTTTCCCCACTATATTGTCAAACTTCCGAAACTTATTTTCGAACGAGTTGTTGAAAATCGACGAAATCGACTTTTTCCGGCCGAGATCAGCTATGTGTGACGGAGTAATAGAGAAATGTTTGAAAACGCGAGAAAGCGACGGAATGGTGCTGGATAAAAGATTGCAAATATTTTATTTCAATAAATTAGAGTACCCGATGCTGATGAACAGCCCAGTATACCCCAGAGACCCTTAAAGTAAGTCAGTCAGAGGTCCCAGGCGAAACCAATATAGAGTAGTAGTTGCCGGCCTTGGTTATTTTATAGTATAGAGGGGTAGACCTATATATACTGATATATACTTCTCATACGTCATTTACAGAATTACATGGGGAGCGCCTATGGAATAGACGTATATCCGACATTCTTGCGTTGAAAAGATTGATATAACTTGTTATTACTGTTGTAACACCCACCCACCCACCCCACTGGAAGTTCTGAAATTAAAGTACAGTATTTGACATGCACACGTACATTATTTATCTAATGACTTGCCAAGTTATTCACCCCCCCCCCTCCCCCCCCCTTCCCCCCGCCTGGGCATCACTGCATGCTAATGCTAACAGTGAAATTTTACATTCAGAAAAAAATGAGGAGTGGGGCCCCCATGCAACCCCTCCCCCCCGGATTTGTTTTTTATGTGCATGATTGTAATTAAAATATTTGTTCACCTGAGTGTAAATCGAGTGCCCAAAAAAAAATTCCAAAATATTTTAATCAGTTGGGATTTTCCCGATCTACTTTTCATCTAACGTAGCTAGCAAGAAGTAAATGTTCTTAATTTTCACCAGGAAGATCACATGCAGGTGAACATAACCTGATTTTTTCCACAATGCTAGAAAATCAGAGAGCTAGGAGTAATTATCATATACTTTTGTCGAATGATTTGAAAATTATGTGCATGGGAAAATATTTAAGCGTTATCATTAATAGTGGACCTGTACCAAGACAACTCTTTGACATTGTAGATGCAAATGGTGAAAAAAAAATGAATGTAATAATGAAGTTTATTCTATCAATACGAGTATTTACTTTTGAGATTCCATCAGGAGACAATAAAATGATGGATATCGTTGTATAAATATGCAATTTTCAATTTGCCATTCAAATTATTATCCTTAACAACGTTTGCAATGATACAGAATTTCAGTTTAAAGTGCTTAATGAAAGATACAAACAAATCATTAAACGAATGGTGCTGACACCACAAAGTATACATAATCATGTTTGTCCGAAAAGCTCCTTAATTTTTGCATGTCATTTAGCATTGCGATGATATAGGCCCATATCTCATGACTTTCCATATTTTTGAGCGGTCACCCATCCAAGGGTTAAACAGGCTTGCCGTTGCTTAACTTGCCTGAAATAGAGAGAGACCCTACCGCATCACTAGAAAAGCTAGCTCACTGGCGAGGCAGTAAAAGTTCCCAATATACTGTCCGCTACAGATGTCAAACACAAAAGTCGGATATATCTTTTCTAGATAACTTCGGAAATATTTTGTATATAGAAAGGTTCTAGATAACTTGTCTTCTTTTATGCTTAGCATTAAACTTCAGGTAATGACCCTTTCTCAATGTTAAAATTTAAATAGATTGATTGTTTGTATGTTGTTAAACGTCCTTCTAGAACATTTTTAACTCATATGGAGATGCCGTGACTTGCCGATGGAGAGCTGCAAATATTTTACTATAACCGGCACTCAGGACCTTTGAGGAGTGAGGGATCTTTTTTGTGCAGTGTTTTGAAGGCAAGCGTTCTATAAGTAAAATCAATTATCAAAAATAAATTAATGGGAACTAAAATATTTTTGTTGTTGCTGGTTTTGAAAGAGTTGGGCTGAACTTAATTAAGCGGTGAAACTGAAAATGAATTTTACTTTATAAAAGACCAATCAATTATTTGTGTTCTTTTCTCTAAGTCAGCGAATCATAGGACTATTTGCACTCCAATGGCATATTTTTAATACAATACCAAGTTAATGCGTATAAATAATTCTTTTTTTATTACGTCGCTAATAAAAATCGACGTTACAAGAAAAAATTTATAAAATATAACGTCAGCGTATAAATGATGCATACTTTGAATACAGTGGAGCCTCATTTATCCCCCCCCCCCCCCCTCTATTTGATTAAGAGAATTTGTCCGGATATTTTATTACGTCTAATAACTTGAATCACCAGTTAAACAAAACAATATAAAATTTAAAAATTCCGTCCCGATGAAAAAGCGTCCGGATACTGAAGCATCCGGATATCTGAAGGTTCACTGTACTTGTAAATCCGTAACGGAGCAAGACACACCTATAATAAATTTACAGGTAATATTTACTTTAGGTTCTACATCATTTTTCAAGAAAAAAGTCATTTTCGAAAATTTTTTACGTAAGAGGGGGGGGGGGGTTGCTTGGAACGGCTCAAATAATATTTAACATTTGTTGATATATTTTGTCGTATGCTCTTGTTGATAATGTTGTGAAGATGTATTATTTTTAAAAAAATAGCCTAAAAAAAAATAGGATAATAGTTCCAATTTTTTGTAAAATTATATTTTTTTCAAAACTTACCATATACTAGTTTTTATTTATATTTGTATTTTGGGTTAACATTCCTACAT